GCTGGTAATAACGAAGTGAAGCGCAAAGACTTCATCATGTCTCTGCAAAGGAACAACCAACTAACAAAATACAGGGCTTAGATCGGCTTAGGGGCTACCCTTCTTGAGAACCCGATCACTGACAGTTCTTTGTTCGAAGCTTCTGCATGAACATCCGAAATCACCTGCAACACTCCAGTATGTATATAAAAATATACATATACATACACACACACTAAACGTAACCCACAATACGGTGATCTAGTATTGTAAAGTCATAACAGAGACGTATGCCAACAATCCATATTGCATATTGACGATGACGCATGACACCACACACCGCATACATGCGTACATGTGCACTGTAAGTTGTCCGGCTGAGAACAGCGCCGGCCTCCAGTTCCATGATCATTTGCATAGCTGTGAAACCAGCCGTGCCGATCATCATGCACTCCTGCAGCTCCGTTCTCTTGCTTCTGGACTTGTTTTGTGCCGGCTGTGGGTTTAGGGGATTAGGGTTTAGGTGAAGAGCTCTAAAAGTCATAAGCCTTATAAAACTACACCAGTATCGCCACCAAAAGAGCCCAAGCCAATTATAAGGTTGATGAAAAGGGAGGGGGATTTCATGGGGGGTCGGTACCTAGGGAACCTTAGGGAAGCTTAGGGAGCTAAACCCTAAACCCTAGACCCTAAACTCTAAACCCTAAACCCTAAATCCCAAACCCTAAACCGCAGTAGGGAGTATTAGGGACTTTTGAACCTTATAATCTTAGGTGCGCCCAGGGCCCTCCTCCAGGGTGAAAGCCGAAGGCTTCGCAACCAGCCACTCGGCCTGGAAAGCACGAAGGGTTTAGGGTATAGGGTTTAGGGTTTAGACCAAATAAACCCCAGCAAAGTGCACTCACAACTGTGGTGACACAATTTCTGGGCAAGATCTTCGTGGAGTTTGCAAGTGAGCCGGGGGTGGAGACAGGGAAGAAGTGAGACGTAAGCTGGACAACCATCGACAAGTAGAATTTGCGCGATTAATAGATCAGCAACGAATATGACCTGCCTCACTACGATTGGGTCTAAACCCTAAACCCTAAACCCTAAACCTAAACCCTAAACCCTAAAAGGAGACTGCAGAGGGGTATCCATGGCCTGCACTCGGCAGAACTCAGCGTAACCACCGTCAAAGTGCTGGCCAATCTTGTTGCCCGTCAGAACCACCTGTGCGCAAGAAGCACAAACCATGGGTTTAGGGTTTAGGGTTTAGGGTTTAGGGTTTAGGGTTTAGGGTTTAGGGTTTAGGGTTTAGGGTTTAGGGTGGTTGGGATGGGAGGTGTGCAGCTTCTGAGCACTTAACCCCCTGTGAACCCCGTTGCCTTCAGTGGCTTCCTTGAGGCGTGTCTTTCTTGACCATGCATCTTAGAACCCCAAAAAAAGCAAACAAATAAAATAACATAAAGGGCTACCAAGGCATTGTCGCGGTTCTCCTGAGGTTGATGTCCCTAAACACTTTCTTGCAAAAAGGCTTGTCCAGTACTGATGTCCCTAAACCCCAAACCCTTAACCCGAAACCCTGAACCCTAAACCCTTTTTTGAACCCCAGGCTCTGAGCATCAGCTGAGACCACCAAGCCTAAACCCTAAACCCTAAACCCTAAACCCTAAACCCTAAACCCTAAACCCTAAACCCTAAATCTGTTTATTGCTTCATTTTGGGCTGGCCGCGCTCCAAGCCTGGGCCTCCGGCTTCGACGCTGACGGGTTAGGTTTTTTTGGCTCAGGGTTTAGGGTTTAGGGTCTAGGGTTTAGGGTTTAGGGTTTAGGGTTTAGGGTTTAGTCTAATCTTGCATGCTAGTGTGGCGGGCCGCTGATGTTTGTTTACCTGTTTGGCCGAGACACCACAAGGCTTTGCAGCTGTGAAGGCTTGCCTGTTCTTTTTGCGTTAAGTCACTTGGCGAACCTCCCTTTGTTCGGGGGAAGCCTCGTCCCCTGGCTTCCAGAGCGGAGAGTGGCTTTCGACCACCACGCCAGACAAGTCGATTCCAGGGACGATCCTTGGGTTATGGGGGGGGGGGGGGGGGTACTCAGGAGGAACTCGATGATGGCATGACAGCAAAACGGGCGAGGGGAGCGAGACGAGAGAGAGAGAGAGACAGAGAGAGAGAGAGAGCGACATACAACGAGAGAGCGATATGTAGGGAGGAAGCGGGAAAGAGAAAGAGGAACAGAAAGAGGCGAGAAAGTCGGGATGTGCCCTACATATTCTACCCAAAAATCCTTGATGGAAGAGTCTGCTCTACAAGTTCATAACATGCCAGTAGTCAAGACCTCCCAAGCTAGTCCCTCCTACGTACCTGGAATATAGTTCGTACTGCGGCACGTACCAAGGATTCTTGTTGATCCTGCTTCTCCCAGCTTTGTACTCGAAACCCTCACAGTTCCAACCCTTCTTTTTGAACCCAGACTCCTGAAGTCAGCTGGCTTTTGACAAACTTTCTGTCTAGGCAAACATGCTACACAGAACCAACCCTATAAACCCTAAACCTAAACCCTAAGCCCTATAGACCCTAAACCCTAAACCCTAAACCCAAAAAACTGTAAATGCTAGAACCCCGGAACCCTAGAAGCCTAAACCCTCAAACCCTATGAACCCTAAACCCTAGAAACCCTAAACCCTAGAAACCCTAATCCCCAAAAGCGGAAACAAGCAACTCGCGCGCGACGAGGCTCGGAAACTTGCGCACGACTCCGTGCTGGCCCTGGAGGATCATCGCATCCTCAGGGGATGCCTGGCTGCCCTCTTGGTAGGGAATGAGGGAACGAGGTACCCTACTCCCTTAAAGGGTACATCTATATATATATATATATATATGGTCCTGTTGGGACCCTTTTTTCCGAAGCATACCGTGAATCGACTGTACGTCAACTTCAAGACACGTCCTGTTAGGACCCTATATATATATATATATATATACCCCTTAAAGGAGTATATAGGGTACCTCGTTCCCCAAATTCCCTGCGAAGAACCAGGCGGGACTGGGAGAGTGGGGCAGTTTTTGTTTTTTTCACACCCGCCCAGTAGTGGGGCAGCTTAGAATTCATGAAGCGAACTGAACGAAATACATCAAAACATCTACAGACGAATCTAGTGAGCTTTTTTGCTCCTAAACCCTAAATCCTAAACTCTCCTGGGTCCTTGTAGTTCAGGTCGCTGAAGTGGACGTTGACCGTGACATTAGCCACAGGATCCTCGAGGGAATTTAGCGGGGGGGGGGGGGGGGGCCGGGCGGGGGTTTAGGGTTTAGGGCTTTTTTCGCGGGAGGGGGTTATGGGCCGAAGTGCTTTCCCCCCCCCCCCCCCCCGCATCCAAATTAAGGGAAACCCATGATAAACCCTAAGCCCTAAGCCCTAAACCCTAAACCCTAAACCCCTACCGGAGCAGTAGCGATCCTGCTGCGGCAGCTGGGCGCATGCTGCGAAGCTGTCGATGGCCCGATGCTTCAAGCTGCCCTTCTCCTCAGTCTCCTACTTGGAGGTCCATGATACTTATTCACCGGTCAGGGTTTAGGGTTTAGGGTTTAGGGTTTAGGGTTTAGGGTTTAGGGTTTAGGGTTTAGGGTTTAGGGTTTAGGGTTTAGGGTTTAGGGTTTAGGGTTTAGGGTTATTAACCAAGTGTAAGTGTACTTATAACCCACTTATAAGCCCCTCCTTAAGTGCCCTAATATGGCTATAAGTACAGCTATTAAGTGTAGTTATAATTGGTTAATGAGTACCATGAACCTCCAAAGTACTGCCTTCCACCTAACATCAAGTGCCCCCCAAGAGGAGGAGCCTCAAGTGAAAACAAGCTTGGGGCCGCAATGTATCGATTCTGTAGTGAGGCATTGGGCGGGGGGGGGGGGGGGGGGGAAGTAATGGGGGGGGGGGGTATTCAGTTTTTGGGCTTGTCACCCAGCACCTAGCCTAAACCTTAAAGAAACACTTCAGCCTGCTCTAGTTGTCTGGGTCGGGACTTGGACACCAGTCGGGTCGCCTGCACTTTCATGAAAAGCCTTCGTCGCCCTTGCCTTCTGATCCTACCCGCCCCTCACTCAATCTGTAGCTTAGAGCGCTCAGACTAAGTCGCAGAAAGATACTCCCTAAGCCCTAAACCCAAAACCCCAAAATCTCAAACTCCAACATCCTTTCTCCGCCCCGGCGCTGCGTTGACCACCCAGGCGCGGAAAGTTTCGGCCTGCTCAAGGGTCAAAGCTTCAGGGTTTATAGGGTTTAGGGTTTAGGGTTTAGGGTTTAGGGGGAACCCCCCCCGAAATGCGGAGCGGAACAACTGGGGGGCTGGGATGGCACCCATGATCGGTCTGGGAGTCCTAGGAGGGATTCCCCTAAACCCTAAACCCTAAACCCGACAGGCCGGTGCAGCAGCGCTCTGGGTGCTGAGGTGGCGCAGAAGCCGCGAGAGGCGCAAGGCAGCAGCCATATGGTGGGGGGAAGGCAGCGGTTGCGAAAAGCTCGGGGAGTTTTTCAACCCTAAACCCTAAACCCCAAACCCTAAACTTGGGCCTGAAAGTACCTCCTACATAGGGACTTTGGGGGCCCAGGTATGCAATAAGTCAGCTGGTGCTCTGGAGCAAATGATCGGAAAAGGGTTTCGGAGTACCAGGTCTCAGGGCGGCTGTGGTCACGTGCGGTGCGGTCAGCACTTTAAAAGGAGAACCAGCTCTACCTTTCTTGCGCAAGCCGGCCGGCGATGTTCAGGACAACTTGCTGCAGGTGGTTTTGAAGCTTCGCCAAAGACCTTGTCATGCCCATGCCGATGCAACAGAGATTTGAAACATGGATACCCTGGCTGATCATCGATGCACAACCCAGCCTCCCATGCAGCCACGCCTTAAGTTAGGGCCTCCAATGCTTAGTTGTCCCAGTATCCTAGGGGAAGTAACGGTTATATAGGGAATAGAATAACCCCAAAAAGGTTAATGGTTATCACTCTACTACCTACAATGTAGCCGCGCCCTATGCTTGGGCAAAGGCTGGACGAGTAAGTGCATGCAGTTGAAGTCAAGGCCTGTCCGTGGGCCGGATGCTAGCAGGGGACGCACAAAGCAAAACCCCAAGAACAAACTTTCAGTACATTGGGTTTAGCGAGGGTTTAGGGTTTAGGATTTACAAGGACTCATGCAGGGTCTTTGTTGGGCAATTTTGGCGCAACACACACGCGCCCACAATCACACACATCCTGCTGAGCCCAAGTTACGCATTGAGCCGCGTGGCCGAACAAAATCATATGGAAACACCTTCGGGGGGGCTCTTGGCCCTGAGCACCCTGCGCAAGGTAAATGCAAATACTTTGCGTAAACCACCCACCGGCACCGGTTACCCGATAAGTAGCCTCTTGCTGTGACTGTCACAAAGACCTTCCCCCCCCCCTCTATACTAAACCCTCTGGGTTCCCCCCCCATAATTAAGGCTATGTCGAGATAATTAAGCCTAGGGTGAACCTAGGGGGGGGGGGGTCGTAAGGTGCTAGATAGGAAACCCTAACCCTAAACCCTAAATCCTAAACCCGAAACTAGGGAAACAAATGATGAAAACCTCCCGCTTTGTCAGGCCTCGGTGGATAGTTCTCCTGCTGGGCTGCGCCTTATGTGCGCGCGATGTCCCAGAGGGCACTCAATACCCCTCAAGAGAGGAAGCCTAAACCCTGAACCCTGAACCCTAATCCCTAAACCCTAAACCCAGCCTGTTTATGAGCTGAGATACAACTGGTCCTCAGAATGAGAGTTGGGGCTCCATAGGTCTGCGAAAAGTGTTCCGGGCTGGGGCGTCGACATGTTTAAGTTGTTATCATGGTTTGGGATCCTAAACCCTTCACCTTAAACCCCAAACCCTAAACCCTGAACCCTGAACCCTAAACCAACCCGGCAAATCAGGAGTGCCACTGTCCGGGATCACCCAGATTCCCCAACATATGATGTCCCCCTGCGTGGCGCAACGCCCAAAATTCTAAGAATAACTCAACATATCCCAAACCCATACCCCTTAACCTCTAAAAGGAGAATATAAGGAAGGAATTTCCCATACCCCTTACCTTCTTTTAAGGGATGTGCCCACAGGGAACCCTAAACCCTAAACCCTAAACCCTATGTTGAATATGTCTTAGAAAAATGCTTCAGACCAAGCGTGAGCGCCTTCAAATCCTCCAGAATCTTCAGCAGCTCCGCTTTGTGGGATTCGTCCTCCATCTTGTCCACCTGGAAACACAGCCCTAAACCCTAAACCCTAAACCCTAAACCCTAAACCCTACACCCTAAACCCTACCCCTTCACTGGAAGGATGTGGCCGGGCTCAGTATCATGCAGTTGGCATACAGCAGCATGGGGCAGATCAGATTAAGTCTTTGGATACGATACGTCCTGCATTCCGTCATCAGCCTAAACCCTAAACCCTAACCCTAAACCCTAAACCCTAAACCCTAAACCCTAAACCCTAAACCCTAAACCCTAAACCCTAAACCCTAAACCCTAAACCCTAAACCCTAAACCCTAAACCAACATGACTGGAAGAACCTGGGGTGCCCGTAGGATTACCTGGCTCCCAAAGACTATGTACTTGGTACCACAGTAACCGTATTCAATAAGGGCACCCTTTTTTGGGTTGGTTACTTTATCAGGGAACCTTGAACCCTAAACCCTAAACCCTAAAACCTAAACCCTAAACCCTAAACCCAAGGGAAAAGGGTACCACTGGGCTACCAAGTGTAGCAGCATCACGGGAAGCTTTTGATGCACTAGAATCGTCCCACTCACCTCTGCGCGTGTCCATGTCCCTTGTCTCGTCAACTCGTAGTAAATTCGCCTAGCATTGAGTGTCCATCAGCGGGCTTCCGGGGTATCGGGTGGGCATACATTGCTGGCAGATAACATAGGGGCCTAGTCGTGAGAATGGGTCTTTGAAAGGGGGCTTCAGTGCAGCAGTATCAAGAAATAAGAGGATGTAGTAGCTATACAGGCTCCTCAGCCCCTATAACCCTAAGCCCTATAAACCCTTTCAACCCGACCCGAAACCATAACCCCCCTAAACCCTAAACCCTAAACCCTAAACCCTAAACCCTAAACCCTAACTCTAAACCCTAGCCCTAAACCCTAGCCCTAAACCCTAAACCCTAAACCCTAAACCCTAAACCCTAAACCCTAAACCCTAAACCCTAAACCCTAACCCTAAACCCTAAACCCTAAACCCTAAACCCTAAACCCTAAACCCTAAACCCTAAACCCTAACCCTAAACGCCAAATCCTCAACCCTAGCCCTAAACCCTAAAACCCCCTAAACCCTGAGTCTCCACTCTGGCCTCGCCCCGCTTCTCCATCTCAAGCAAGGTCGTCCGGCAGAACTCCAAGGCCTGGAGCTTATGGAGTAGGGTAGGGTTTAGGGTTTAGGGTTTAGGGCTTAGGGCTTAGGGTTTAGGGTTTAGGGTTTAGGGTTTTAGGGTTTAGGGTTTAGGGTTTAGGGTTTAGGGTTTAGGGTTTAGGGTTTAGAGTTTAGGGTTTAGGGTTTAGGGTTTAGGGTTTAGGGTTTAGGGTCTGGGGTTTAGGGGTAAGGGCTTAGGGCTCTAGGGTTTGAGGGTTTTAGAGGTTTTAGTAGGGTGTTCCCTCAAACTCTTAGAACCTCTGCACAATAATATTCTTAAATCGGATCCACACACACACAAACTCCGCGCCTGTCGCCGTGCGAGGATGGGACTCGCTTGCGCCGGGAACTCCTCAGGCCAGTAACCGGGAGCTCGATAATTTAATATAGGGACCTTAATAATTAGAACATGGTTTTGGGTGGCATGATTGTATATTTATAAAGGGACCTTAAGGGAAAACCGTGAGTCATTCTTCCGACCCCTCTAGTATAGTCTTGCGTCTCGGATCCAGCGCCAGTATCGGCTTGCAACAGATGACTTGGCATGATCTGGCCAGTAGAAGCCTGGATGGATGGATGGATGAGAGGCCGCCATGTATGCCATGTATGTACGCTTTATGTTCTTTCTGAAGCTCTGTACGGGCACGGGCATGTTGATAGATGTGTTTCATGACGTCGGGTTAGGGAGCTAGGGCGATGTATGTGGGGTTCGTCAGAAATTGTCCTGGTGTGGGACATGGGGATAGCCTTAACATATATAAAAAAGTGGCAAATGCAAAAAACAAAAACATATTTATCAACTATGGAGACATGGTCCCTTAGTATGGGCCCTGAAATGGGGACCCCTTATATACCCCTTGTATACCCTATACAACCCTCAGGGCCCACACTTCCGAACCCATTACAGGAGGTAAGCCCTGCCCATGAAACTACCCGGACCTTAGACTGAAATGGGGACCCTTTATATAAGGCTATACAACTTATGGACCCATAATTCAGAACCCTTGAAAGGAGGCAAGGGCCCAGAGAAAGCGACCATGTAGCTACCCTGAGAGAACAACATGAGCAAAAGCTCAGCCACTGGCTGCTTTGTCTCTGAGAAACTCTTTTTACGGTTCAGGGCTCCAAACCCTAAACCCTAAACCCTAAACCCTAAATGAAGCCAGCCTCTGTGCCGTTGGCTAAACCTTAGCTGAGTTGACTCCTCCGCCTCTTTGTCGGGGCCAACGAAGACCGTCCACTGCCGACCTGCGAGCTGCCAGCAAGTAGGGTTTAGGGTTTAGGGTTTGGGGGACTTGTGCAGTGCACACCTCCAACTATATGGAAAAGGGTTACTTGGTAGCCCAGTAACCATCTTATGATAAGGGCACCCGTTTTGGGGGTTGGTTACTGCATAAGGGAACCCATAAACCCCCAAGAGTGTCTATAAAAAAAAACCACTCGGCTACCTAAGTTATTGTCTTCCATCTCCGAAAAGCCTAAGCCCTAAATCTACTAAGTATTCCACACCTGAACCCTAAACCCTAAACCCTAAACCCTAGCCTTCCGCTGGCCAGAAGCTGCTTCAGATACGCTGGAAGGCTCCTGGGAGCCTGGCTTTCGGCGCTGTAGCGCATCGTCAGAGGCCGCTCGGTCTTCCTTGCTGCTCATGCTAGGGTTTAGGGTTTAGGGTTAGGGTTTAGGGTTTAGGGTTTAGGGCTTAGGGTTTGGGGGATCAGGGCCGGTTGATGCGCGGGGGCATGCCGAGGTTACTCTACAAATACGGCATCTGCTCGTGAGACCAAGCCGAGCTTCGGGAAGCCGTGCGTATCCCATGCCGATCGCTAAACCCTAAACTCTAAACCCTAAAACCGTAAACCCTAAACTCTAAAAACCCTAAACCCTGAACTCTAAACCCTAAAAACCCTAAACCTCTATTGTATTTTGTATACCATTATAATGCTTTTTCAAGAAGCTCAGGAGTCGACTTCGGCGGTGCTGCGCCGGCCTTGCCACGTACATCAGAGCTATTGGGTAGCAAGTGGCTATAGACCCACAGAGGTTTAGGTTAGGGTTTAGGGTTTAGGGTTTAGGGTTCAGGGTTCAGGGTTCAGGGTTTAGGGTTTAGGGTCCCATATAGCTAACCAAGCCACGCAGCGGGGTTTCCGACACGAGACGACGGGAAAACTGTCACTCGCTCATGCAGCTTCAGATAAGCTCAAACACAGCGTCAACTCCGCACGGGGTTTAGGGTTTATACTTAGTTGTCCAGTAACCTGGGGGAATTCAAGGTTAACCTTTGGAATTATAAGGGGATTATACTACCCCAAAAAGGTTAAAGGTTACCTTCTCTACTACTAGGTATATCTGTGCTCAATCCCCATGTGTCTCGTAGTGGTAGGTTAGTTGGCTGCATTTGCTGTGCCCGGACCCTCACACTGCGAAGTGTGCAAACTGCTTATTATGATCTCGAGGGCTGTTGAACAACCCTTAAGGGGTATAAGGAGGGACCCTTAGAAGGGACCCTTAGTTTGATTCCCCGATATTACCCCTCTACATACCTTATGTAATCCCAATCTAAGTAGCCTTAAATAAACCCCAGATAACCCCTAAGGTCCCTTATAAGGGTCCCTAACCCTAAACCCTAAACCCTCAACCTGGGTCTCGCCTTTAGTCCCTGGAACCCCTAAGCTATCGGGTCCTGAAAGGAGGGGGGGTTCAAGGGGGGAATGAACCCAAGGTTCCCCAATACTCCCTTCAGGTTGCTAGGGACCCCAGGCACCCTTCCAGGCCCCTAAGCCCTAGAAAGCCCTAAGCCCTAAAGGTCTAGAAGCCTACAACCTCAAACCCTAAACCGAAAAAAAAGAAAAAAAACATATAAAAACAAAAAACCTAAAGCGCAGGGCCTCGGCACCGGTTGGCATGCCATCCTCGGGTTCCCGCAAGGTCACCGACCAAGCGCTCCGGTAAACGTGAGGGCGTTGAGGGCTTTGATGGTTTCGTCGCTCGCGCAGCTTAGGGTTGGTTTAGGGTTTAGGGTTTAGGGTTTAGGGTTTAGGGTTTAGGGTTTAGGGTTTAGGGTTTAGGGTTTCGGGTTTAGGGTTTAGGGTTTAGGGTTTAGGGGGTCTTTCCGCTCGCACACTGCCAGGCTCCAACTTGAGGGTTTACGCTCCCAGAGATCTCAGGCCACGTAGAACCAGAGCATTCCTCATAAAGCCTCACCACCCCAAACCCTGACCCCTAAACCCCAAACCCCAAACCCCAAAGCCCTGCTCCCTTAAATTGTTTTTTGTCTCCCCTAAGCCTAAACCCTCAAACCCATCTGGGGGTGTCCGAAATGAAGGGGATTCTACTATTTGCGGGATCTCTATTGGGTGTCCCCTATTTTCGTACTTGGAGGTTCATGGTACTTATTAACCAATTAAAGCTGTACCTATAACTTGTACTTATAACCATATTAGGGCACTTCCGGGGCTTATAAGTACAGTTATAAGTACAGTTATAATTGGCTACTATGTACCATGAACCTCCAAGTAGACCCCCCCATAGAAGCCCTGAACCCTAAACCCTCAACCCTCACGGGACTAAAGGAGGGACCCTTATAAGGGACTTTAGGGGTTATTTCGGGGCTATGAAGGTACTTAGGGACTATATAAGGTATGTATTAGGGTTATATATGGGAATTAGATTAAGGGTCCCTTCGAGGGGTCCCTCCTTACACCCCTTAAAACCAAACCTTAAACCCTAAACCCTAAACCCTAAACCCTAAACCCTAAACCCTAAACCCTAAACCCTAAACCCTAAACCCTAAACCCTAAACCCTAAACCCTAAACCCTACCCCTGCTAAACCCTGCTTTCGTTGGCAGCTGGGGTGGCTACGATCTCCTTCAAGAAGTCTGCGAAGGCAGACTCCTGGAGTTCCGAGAAGGTGCCCGTTCTCTTAGGGTTTAGGGTTTAGGGTTTAGGGTTTAGGGTTTAGGGTGTGTCAGGGGAGGGCGCGCGCTCGGGTGTGAAACACCCCGGGCCGCGCGCTCGCGTTGCCCGTCAACCCACCCCGGCCACCCAAACTATACTCTATTAGGGTTTAGGGTTTATGGAATTTACTTTCTTGTGCTCTGATGCTTGCTTTGATGTTTTTAAAGTTGCGCTGTTAGGGTTTAAGCTGGGGTTGGGGGTAGCCTCGGCCCTTTTCGGGCCTTCGGCGTGTCAGGGCCCGTAGAGGCCCTTATTTATTTGAAGGTCAGGGAAACCCTTTGTGTCTGCTTTTGGATTCCCCTTCTTTAAGGGCCTCAATTAAGCATCGATTTCACTACCAAAAAATCGCATTTTTCATTGCGGGTACGGGCATCCTGGGGTCCCCCTTCTTTTAGGGGGCCTTTTGAAGCCTTTTGAAGTATTTTGGTGGCTCTTGGGGTCTCTCGGGGCCTTGTTCGGACCTTCGGCGTGTCAGGGGCCGTAGAGGCTTTATTCATTTAAAGGTCAGGGAACCTATTAATGAGTTTTTCGCCAATGAGTCTTTCAATCGCTAGGGTTTAAGCTCGGGTTCGGGGTAGCCTCGGCCCTTTTCGGGCCTTCGGCAAGTTAGGGCCCGTAGAGGCCCTTATTTGCTTGAAGGCCTTCGTAGGGTTTTGCGGTGTTAGGGTTTAAGCTGGGGTTCGGGGTAGCCTCGGCCCTTTTCGGGCCTTCGGCACGTTAGGGCCCGTAGAGGCCCTTATTTGCTTGAAGGCCGTCGTAGGGTTTTGCGGTGTCAGGGTTTAGGCTGGGGTTCGGGGTAGTTTCGGTCCTTTTCGGGCCTTCGGCACGTGGGCCCGTAGAGGTCCTTGCTGATTTAGGGGGAGCCATCGATTTCAATACTAAAAGGCGGGCAGGGGCCTAAAAACAATGTTTTCAATATTCTCATTGTGGGCACGGACAAATCTTGCGGTCCCCCTTCTTTTAGTGGGCCTTTTGAAGCTTTTGAAGCTTTTGGTGGTTCTTGGCGCCTTTTCCGAGCCCTGGTTGGGGGGGTGCTTGGCAGGGTGTTAGGCCCTTGGTCCGGGCAAGGGGCCTTGGCCAAGGGGGCGTATTGTTGGGGGTCCTTGACTCAGGGTTCTTGGCCTGTCCTTGGCTCCCTTGGCTTGGCCCTTGGCTGACAGGCGGCCCGAGGGGCCCTTGGCGGAGGGTCCTTGGCCCGGGGGGCCCTTGGCTCAAGGGGGCCCTTGGCCCAGAGGCCCGGCTCGGAAAGCCTTGGTGGGGGGATTTGGGGGGCCCTTGACCCGGGGGCCCTTGGCAAGGGGGGCCCTTGGGGGCCCGGGCCCTTGGCCCGGGGGGCCCTGGTTCGGGGGGCCCTTGGCCCGGGGGGCCGGCTCCGCAGAAACCCGTTGGCCCAAGAGCCCTTGGCCGGGGAGGCCCTTGGCCCCGAAGGCCCTTAGTTTTGGGGGGCCCTTGGGGGGCCCTTGGCCCGGGGGGCCCTTGGCCCGGGACCTTGCCCCAAAAAAACCCCTTCGCCTGAAAACCCCTTTCCGGGCCCCTTGGCCCGGGGCCTTGGCCCGCCCTTGGCCGGGGGGCCCTTGGCCCGGGGGGCCCTTGGCCCGGGGGGCCCTTGGCCCGGGGGGCCCTTGGCCCCGGGGGCCCTTGGCCCCGGGGGGCCCTTGGCCCGGGACCTGGAAATCCGTGAAAAGCCCCCAAAATCACGAAATTGAGCAACCAGCCTGCCTGGACCCCTCGCCAGCCTCCTGGTCCAGGAATCCAGCTACCAGGGACCAGGGGCCCCCGGGGGGGGGGGGCCCGACAAACCCTGAACCCAAAACCCTGAACCGACCTCCAGAGGCAAAGGGTTACGATTTGGGGTTATACTTTAGCTACGCTAAAGGTGGTCTGGGTGCCGGCCATCCCTTAGCCGAGTACTGACGTTGTCGTAAAAAAGGCCGATGTCCGTTGGCCTGTCTAGGACAGACGGTGAGGCTTAACCCTCACCTTTCCGTTTCTCTTTTCGCTTGGGCGCTCGGGCTGTAAGGCCCTCGGCCGAGCGTTCGGGGTCTGTCGCTCGACGGAAGCGACCCCTCACTTAGTTTAGGGTTTAGGGTTTAGGGTTTGGGGCTTAGGGCTTAGGGTTTAGGGCCCTTCTTGGCTTAGTTGCTGAGTTCATAAGCCCCCAAAAAAGTGTACACTTTCAGTTCTATAGGGAATTAGAGTATCCCAAAAAGTGTAAAGTGTGTTCCTATGTCTAAGGGCCCTGAAATGCGGGGGCTTGTGCTACCACCATACTGTGGATACTTAGGCTATTCAACAAGAATCCGAACTTCAAAGTTCTGCTCGAGTTGGCGATTTGCCTGAACTCAAGGCCTGGGCTCGGCCCAACCACAGTGGGGGTCCATGGTCGGTATCCATCAAAACCGGCAACCCTGAACTGGAGCCTGTGCAGGCCCGGCTTTTGGGGGTGCTCTGGCATCCTCCTAACACACAGGACTTTGACTCTCCTGGAAGCCGCATGTCCCCCGGACCCGCAAGGATCTTTGAAGCCCCAAAATCCGTAACATCATGGGGTCATCTGTTTCAAAATATTACTGGAATCTGCCACTTTTTCTCCGAATCCTTGAGATCCTACAAGGAATAGGCTGGCTTTGTCTCCTGAGACGGCCTGGGGTGGGATTAAAGTGCAAAATGGCCCCTCCACATTCGGGCCACACCTGCTTCACAGCAAACCCTAAACCCTAAACCCCAAATCCTAAACCCCAAACCCTCAACCCGAAGCCCGGCGTTCGGCCCGAGGCTCCTCCGGAGCAGCATCCTTGGAACGTTTAGGGTTTAGGGGTCTATAGGGGTCTAGGGGTCTAGGGGTTTAGGGGTTTAGGGGTTTTAGGGTTTTTAGGGTGTAGGGAATGGACACTTCTACAGGTTGTAGGTCATAGGTTCCTCCAGAAAGGACGAGAACCTACGGTTGGAGGTTTTTCAGGCATCCAGGCATCTGGATTCTGGACGTGAAAGGGATCCTAGCGCTGCAGAATCCTGCACCTTCAGGGTTTAGGGTTTAGGGCTGAGGGTTCATGGCGATGATAATAAAACCACCATCGCGGGTGCTTGTTCAGATCAGGCAACTCGTGCCTAAACAATAACCCTAAACCCTAAACCCTAAACCCTAAACCCTAAACCCTAAACCCTAAACCCTAAACCCTGCTTTGCATGCAAGCCCACACCCGGCCTTCATCTCCACATCAGCACCCTGGGCGGACGTCGTGCTAGTTGAGGTCATGAGCCCTGCTAGCCCAGCAACCTTCTTATAATAAGGGGGTACCCTTTTTGGGGCTGGTCACTTTGTAAGGGAACCTTTTTCCAAAAAAAGGGAAAGGGATACCAAGGAGCGAATCAGAAGTCTCAATAGGTCTGTTTCTTGCCAGTGCGGTTTTGACCATCTAACCGTCTAACCCACGTGTCCTGCAAACCCCAACAACCCCAGCAACCGCCACAACAACAAATGATGCCCTGAGATACTGAGGATCACCTGCGGAATATGAATACGATTTAGGGTTTAGGGTTTAGGGTTTAGGGTTTAGGGTTTAGGGTTTAGGGTTTACTGAGAATCACCCTAGAGTCAGGCGCCGGCCGGCTGCATCTTGTCAATCTCACTGAGGAAATCCATGAACCTGGGCCGTGGGTTTAGGGTTTAGGGTTTAGGGCCAGGGGGGTTATGGGTGTGAGAGTCTGCATAAGAAGTAGGGAGGGAGGGGCTGCAGCATTAAGGGCAGGGGATTGCAGCAAGAAGGCCCCAAAGTACCCTAAACCTCAACCCGAAATACCCTAAACCCCAAACCCCAAACCCCAAACCCTAAACCCTAAACTACCCTAAACCCTAAACCCTAACCTCTTAAGCGCTGCAGTTGGAAGACCGAAGTTGGCTGGCGACTTGGTCCACTAGGCCGCGAGCGCATCGCCCTTCGGCTTGTTCAGAGTCTGGCGGCGGTTTAGGTTTAGGGTCTATAGGGTTTGTAGGGTTTAGAGGGTTTATGGGGTTTATAGGGTCTATGGGGTTTATAGGGTTTCTATAGGGGTTTAGAGGGTTTATAGGGTTGATAGGGGTTTAGAGGGTTTGTAGGGTTTATAGGGTTTACAGGGTTTATAGGGTTTATACGGTTTGCAGGGTTTAGGGAGTCCCACGAAAAACACAGGAAAGAGGTGGAAGTGGAAATGGCCATCTGGACGCTAATGAATACTGAGCCCTACATAGATCTCGCCGCCCTCAGCCATAACGTCATCGAACCCTATACTTGGTAGCCCGGTACCCATCTTCATCTTACATTAAGGGTGCCCTTTTTTGGATGGTTACTTGAAAAGGGAGACCAGAAAATGTTGCTCAACCCTAACTCCGCGACCTATGGCGAAAGAAAACCTTTCCTGGATCCTGCCTCTCGCAGCAAGGTGACCAGCTCCTCCTTTGGGACCAGGCTGAGTTTAGGGTTTAGGGTTTAGGGTTTTCTTGGAGGTTCATCTGTAAGTCTACTTATAGCCCACTTAGAGGACTTAGGGGGCTTATAAATACAGTTTATGTTGGCGTTATAAGTACCCGGAACCTCCAAGTAGAGTTCAGGGCTCGGGGCTTCTAGGGCTTTAGATTTTATGAGGCATATGGGCCCCAAGCCCTAAACCCGGGTGTTCGGGCGGCAACGAAGGGTGTCTTCTCAAATATCTACACACTTGAAACCCGAAGCCGCGAAGCCCTCAACCCTCAACCCTAAACAGTCCTTGTCTTCGGGGCCCGTCGGGATAGCGACACCTGCCGGGCCAACAGCAAAAGGCATGTGGGAAAAGCATTGGGGTTTAGGGGGTTTAGGGATTAAGGTCAAGGGTTCAAGGTTAAGGGCTGAGTTTGGGGCTCGAGGTCTATGAACCCTAACCCTAAACCCTAAACCCTAAGCCCTAAGCCCTAAACCCTGTTAGGGTTCATCTGGTTCCTTAAGGAGGCTGCACCTTCCGCGCGCAATCGCCGCTTGATCTCCACGGCCTGCTTGCGCAACGACCGAAGTTATGTTTAGGGTTTAGGGTTTAGGGTTTAGGGTTTAGGGTTTAGGGTTTAGGGTTTAGGGTTTAGGGTTTAGGGTTTAGGGTTTAGGGTTTAGGGATTAGGGTTTAGGGTTTAGGGTTTAGTCGAACCCGAGCATCCCGGAGCCAACGGATTCCTGAAGAGCTTGATATTCTAGGGGTCCTTTCTTTGTCTAATGTTATCGGACTTCTAGTAATTATTCCGACATATATAGTACACGCCTTCGCATGGGGCTAAATGCCCTTTACTCTCAGGGCTAGGTTGGCCCCTAAAGTCCTAAAACCTTCTGCAAAAATCCCAAAGAAGGCGCTCCACTCTCAGACCCAACCAAAGGCATATCTCGAAAATCCACATGTCCTGCCCACAGTAGCATGGGACTAAAGCCTTCTACAGCGAATTACCCTAAACCTTAAACCTTAAACCCTAAACCCTAAACCCTAAACCCTAACTTAAGTGGTTGCCCCGCAGCGCGCCGGCAGGTCATCCAGTCCGTCCCCTTCCTCTGCGGCCTGCAGGGGCCAAAAAAGGGCTTGAAGCCACAACGCCCCCAAGGGTGGGACATATGTAGAGGTGGCCCCTCATATCTCTCATATTATGTATATACAGAATCTGTAGATAATATTATATATATATATATGATCATGGTGAAGACCCTATGAGACCATGACAAGCACTTGTTTAACAAAAAACGTCGTGACTGCAGGCCTCTGAGCTGTAACACTCAAGCATGCAAGCCGTTTCATCGGTTTTTGCAGGGAGTCGCTCCTGATGGCATGAAGGGGTCGCTTGTATCATCCCCCAATCCGGTTGGCCGTCATTGTCCCCTGGCGGGCCTCCTCAGGCTTGCCGTCCTTTTTGTCCTCATGCACGTGAGCGCTTCCACTAGGGGCTTGAGGGTTCTTCCGCACCTGCCTTTGCTGCAAATCATGAGAAAAAGTGGATGACCAGGCAGCAACGAGGGTTTAGGGTGCACAGGGTGTTGGCTACAGGGTTGAGGGGATGACCCAGGACGTAGGGCTTGGGGCTTAGGACCCTAGAGCCTCCATGTCGTCCAGCGCGCCGAGGAACGCTGCGAAGTCGTCCTGCGTGAGAGGCGAGAGAGTCACCCACATCGTGGAGCTCAAGGCCCATTGCAGTTCCATCTCTTACTTGGCATGTAATGTTGCTACCCTAAACCCTAAACCCTAAACCCTACACCCTAAACTGCTCCCTCTTTTGCCCCTAAACCCTAGGGCCACCTCGGCACTCTCGGTCGCACCCGCATCCGTGCCGCAAGGCGTGCCCTCGCCGGACCTTGGTGCGTCATGGCCCCCTCTCTCTTTACTACGATTTGCTTTAGAACCCCCCCCCCCCCAAAAAAAAAAAAAAAAAAACTGTAAGGGCAGTTTCACTACTATTCGCTGAAGTACACCCAAAAAGTTGAGAGAAAACTTCCTCCTGAGGGTCACACAGGGATCATCATCTTTTTTTTTGTTTTTTTTTGGGGGGGTTCTTCACCAAATACGCGTAGTAGTTTAGACTTTAAAATGGCAATCCCAGCTTAGGTGCCCTTGCCATCTTCAAGAGCTTCGGGTTTAAATAGCCTTAAACCCTAAACCCTAAACCCTAAACCCTAAACCCTTGCAAGGACAGCCAGATGTCAGCTCCTCTGGGCGTCGTGCTCAAGGATGGTCGAGTCGTCCGCCTGCTCGACAGGATTCCCCCACCGGGCCCTCTTTCATTCAGGGTCGAGGGTCTAGGGTTGAGGGTTTAGGGTGTAGGGTTTAGGGTCTAGGGTCTAGGGTTGCCGGGTACTCCCTCTCTAAGAGGAAGCAGGTTCTAAGTTAAACAGATTTTCGAGGGTGGGGGGGGGGGGGGTTCTGAAGAAAATTAGTAGAGAAGGCTCCGACTGTAACGCAGCAACCCTAAACCCTAAACCCTCCTTCCCATCTGACGACCGGTCGGCTTCGTCTGTTTTCGGCTCCTCCGACAAACTTTGGGTGCGTGAGGAAACGGGTTCGCCAAGTTTTAGGGACATCGGGGTACTTCCCAAAATAGGGCCCCCCTACTTTACCCCAAAAGAACGTTATTATCGGAATCCCCCCAACAGGGTACCCCGAATTGTTCGGAAACCCCCAATCTTGAAATTTCAGGAAGGGGTAACCGTAAACTGCCTTAAGGCCACCACTAGAGGATAGGATTAGGGGGACCCTTGGGGATGTAGACCCTCTGAATAAGGTCCCTGTTTCAGAGAGAGCCAGAAGAGGGTCAAGAAGGGTTCCCTTTTAAGGGTCCCCCTTATCCTACCTAGGAACCACGCCATTGCTTCTTGAGGGTTTGGGGCTGCCTCTCTCTGACATGCCCGGATTTTGGAGCAGTAGCCCCTTGCAGAGGCTTAATACAGAGCTCATGGTTTAGGGTTGGGGTTTGGGGTTTAGGGTTTAGGGTTTAGGGTTTAGGGTTTAGGCTTTAGGGTTTAGGGTTTATATAGGGTTTAGGGTTTAGGGTTTAGGGTTGGGGTTTAGGGTCCTTTACATACACCCCTAAACCCTAAACCCTTGTACCAACCCAGGCTCTTCTCCACACCAGCTGGACGCCACACACTTTCATGCCAGCCCTGCAACCCTAAACCCTAAAATTGGGATGTTACTTGCAGTCCTTAATGGGGATTAGAGTATAAACCCTAAACCCTAAACCCTAAACCCGATTACCCCCCTACTACAATCCCTATTAAGGAGCAGTCCTTAGTCCTTAATGGGGATTAGAGTATAAGCCCTAAACCCCAAACCCCAAAATCCTAAACCCTAAACCCGATTACCCCCTACTACAATCCCTATTAAGGACTGTCAGTATAAGGGGGAACATCCCAAGTTGTAGGGTTTAGGGTTGCAACCCTAAACCCTAAACCCTAAACCCTAAACCCCAAACCCTAAACCCTAAACCACGAGAGGGCGCAGGGGAAGCCCGGCCGTCCTCAACCTGCTCGATCCCCTGGAGAAAGGCCATCATGTCCTCAAGAAGCCCTAAACCCTAAACCCTAAACCCTAAGCCCCAACCCTAAACCCTAAACCCCTAAACATGAAGGCCATAGTCAACCTAGGATAGCCCATTCCAAACTACTTACAGTAGGTCCTCGTAAACGCAAGAAGGGAAAATGTCGCATATCCCAAGGCCTACCTAGCAACCCTTTCAGAATCAGGGCCCAGCCTGGGTCCGAATCTGCACTCAAGCTGCAACAAAGGAAGAACACATGTGCCCTTCTTGGTTCAATGCGGGGCCCTAAACCCTAAAACCCTAAACCCTAAACCCTAAACCCTAAACCCTGAAGGGAGGGTGTAGGGCCCGACTCCGTACACTTATAAGGAAGAATATTGGTGAGGGGTTCTCTTAAGCAACTACTCAAATCGTAGTTCTGGATTTCCGGCCTCGTCCTCGGCAGGCTCAGGTGGTGTGGCTGTGCTCTGCTCTTTGGCCTCCTGGCAGCCGTTTGGCCATGCAAACCACCGTCTTGGCCAAGGCAAGGGGACACGGTGGCATACCTCTAAGCCGTAACCCTAAACCCTAAACCCTAAACCCTGAACCCTAACCCCTAAACCCCGAGCAGCTAGGCATGGCAAATCTTGAGGGATGTTTGTGAGAAACATGGTCCTCGTCCACGCCCGACGGTTTCGCAGGCTCCGACTGCTCTGGCACGTCCTGTGCAAAGCCCTCAAAACCCCAAATAGGTGCGGTGAGACCAGGCCACCACATCAAGATCTCCGAGTGCTTGGATGGTAGTACTTCAGGGTGCCAGGTCTACCTACCCTCTCTAGCTTCGGCTCTTCTTGCTCGAAACCTCGGATCTTTGCAAGGAGCTGCATGGGCATGCACGGGTGTGCTCAATCTCGGGCCGCTAGAACCGGGTCAGACACACATATATACACAGATTACATACCTACATACATACATACATACATATATTTAAATATATATTTCTACATATAAATATGTACATATATTCTTGCTTCCTTTACACTTACTAGCCTGCGTCGCGGCTCATTCTTGGTCCAACGTAGACCTGACAACCACCAAAAACCGGAATCTATTTGGAAGTGCCAAAAGGTTTAGGGTTTAAGGTTTAGGAAAAGTCTGGCCAATAAACCCATGCTCGACGCCTCCATTCCGTCCTCAGCAGTGTTGCACACCTCCATGCCGCCGTCCTCACACCCAAAAAGTCCATGTACCTAGATCGTATATACGAAAACCCTAAAGCTACTATAGAGAAACCTCTTTAAGGCCCAATTATATAGTGAGGCCCCCAAAGAACGAAGAACCTGAGGGTTTGGGGAGTCATTCTGAGCCACGTGCCCGAAAGACCCTCTGGTTCTTAGTAGGGAATGAGGGAATGAGTGCCCTAAAAAGCACCTCATTCCCTCATTCCCTACTAAGAACCAGCCAGATGCCACCCGCCGGGCCCATCCCTGGAATCAGTAGGCCTCCACCAGACCAAAAAGGCCCCCAAAACCCTAAAGCCCCCCAACCCGAACCCGCAAAAACCCTCAAACCCCAAAAAGCAAAAGCCCTGCAATCCAGGTGTTACCTGCTTTTTACTGCAATCTCTGCATAAATCCTGTAGAAATAGAAAAAAAGGCCAGCCAAAGAATCAACAACCGCTTGACAGGCCTCCTTGGCTTTGGAGCCATCGCCTGGTGGCTCCTTGCCCTTGGCCTGGGTGTAGGGTTTAGGGTTTAGGGTCTAGGGTTTAGGGCTTAGGGTTTGGGGTTTAGGGCTGAAGATTCGTTGCTGCGTGAAGGGTGGAAGGTCAACAGTACAACAGGCCTTGGTATCTTCCCCCTTATACTAGCAGTCCTGAACAGGGACTTTTATAAGGGGGTACTATAATCCCTACTAAAGGACTGTTAGTAGAAGGGGGAGTATCCCAACAAAGGCTAAACCCTAAACCCTAAACCCAAAACCCTAAACCCAAAACCCTAAACCCAAAACCCTAAACCCTAACCCAAGGCATGGATTTCAAGATACAGGGCTCACCAAGTCCGCCCGTCCGCCTCATCAATATGCTCGATGCCTTCCAGGAAGGCAGCCATCTCGTCCTACCCAGGCGAAACCCGGCAATGTCTCTGAAGCTGGATCAAAGGTGTCTATCATGACTTCCTCCCAAATCTCTGGTATACTTCCCGAATCAGGCAGTTGCGCCTCCACCCTAAACCCTAAACCCTAAACCCTAAACCCTAAACCCTAAACCCTAAACCCTAAACCCATCCTCCTCTTCGTCCTTCTCCTCCTCCTTCTTGTCTTCCTTGGTGGCTACCTCAGCCTTCCAGCAATTTTCTCTCCAAAACGACCCAGCAAGGCAGCAGGGTTTAGGGTTTAGGGTTTAGGGTTTAGGGTTTAGGGTTTAGGGTTTAGGGTTTAGGGTTTAGGGTTTAGGGTTTAGGGTTTAGGGCTCACAAGGTTTTGCGAAAAAAAGGCCGGGGCCCGAGCTGTCAGCACAGGTGTGGATAGTTTCTACATATATATATATATTTATATATATTTATTTATTTATTTATTTATATATTTACTTATTTATTTATATAAGAGCCAATTTCATCAAGAAAAAACGCCTTTAAACAAATACATGTATGTATGTTTGCGCATATAGATGTTATATATGTGTACACATTTGTGTTGTAGAAATATAGAGTTGTGGAGGATAACATGGGTACGTACTTATAAGCTCCTGTACTGCGAATTCTGACGCGACTACAGTGCATCCAGATTGAAACGGTCCAGGGGCCTCCTTCTCGTCTGCAGCCTCTTCCTTCGCATCCTCCTGTCTTGAGAACCCTAAAGGGTGCATGCCCCTCTATGGTACATAATCGGGCCGTTTAAAGGGGTTCCTATATGGGGGGTTTCCGAGATTAGGGGTACCTTATTGGGGTCCTTACTATAAGGAAGTCCTACTATTTGGGGGGGGGGGGGGGGGGGCTATTACAAGCGTCTCTTGTTTTCGTAAACCCAATATGGTAGCTTTAGGTTCAGGAGTATGTGCTATGTAGGTGCATGGGCCCTGTGGAGGAACTTTGGGAGCATTTTCAAAAGCACAATCGAAGGTCGAGCAGACGGCGCCTCACATCTCCCAACATTGTCGAGCGGCACCGATTTCCGAAACCTTAAGGCCTACCAGAATAACCTTACCCTTTTCTTCCAGGGGCCTACTTGTTGTGTCCTTATAAGGGTTCTAGTAGCTCAATTCTTCGGGCCCATGAAGGTATAACCTTCAGCATCGCTTAGGTGTTGGCAGCCAGCAACTCACCTTTGCAGCTACTGTAGGTTATTACTATACTTGAAGGTTCATGGTACTTAGTAGCCAATTATAACTGTACTTATAACTGTACTTATAACCATGTTATGGCACTTAAGGGGCTTATAAGTACAGTTATAAGTACAGTTATAATTGGTTAATAAGTACCATGAACCTTCAAGTAGGTTGGGATGTTCCCCCTCATACTAACAGTCCTTATTAAGGATTCTAGTACCCCCGATTAGAACCCCTGTTAAGGACTGTTAGGATAAGGGGGGAACATGCCAAACTCTGGGACCCCTTAAGGGGTTCCTTGGCCACCTACACTAACAGGTAGGCTTGGGGTTCTCAGGGTAAACTCCCTGAGCCCTAAAAAAGGCAGTCCCTTAAACCCCATAAAGCCAACCAAAACCAAACGTGGAAGACGCTCAACCCTTTTGAACCCAGACTGGACTGACCCTCAATCCTAAACCCTAAACCCAAACCCTAAACCCTAAGCCCCTAAGCCGTAAACAGGGTCCTCAGGGGCTTCTTCCGCAGCTTCTTCTGCTTTCCCCTCTTCCGGGGGATCCTGGGCACACACTCTGTCGTCAACCGAGTTCATGCCTGGGGAGGACCAAATGAACCCTAAAAGCGTTTATATTGTGGCTCATGTGCGTTCATAGGGTTTGTAGTATATGGCTCACATGCCTTACTAGGGATTGTAGCAGTATATGGCTCATACGCCTTAATAGGGTTTGTAGAAGTACAAGGCTTAAGGCCCCCAAACCCTAAACCCTAAACCCTAAACCCTAAACCGTGGTTCTTGGAATCCAGGGTTTTCTTCAGGCACACCTCCCCCCCGCCAAAACACAAAAACAAGTGCTGGATACAATGAGCCAAAAACATGTTAATTGCAAAACAAGTACTAAATACCATGAGCCAAAAGCACGTGAGTTGCAGGGGGAGTCCGGGAATTTTGGGGTGGTCTCTTCTTAAGGTAACATTGGGGGTTGCCACCTTCGATCGACCTCAATCTTTAACGCTAAACCCCTAAACCCTAAACCCTGAACCCTGAACCCTGAACCCTGAACCCTGAACCCTAAACCCTAAACCCTAAACCCTAAACCCTAAACCCTAAACCCTAAACCCTAAACCCTAAACCCTAAACCCTAAACCCTAAACCCTAAACCCTAAACCCTAAACCCTGAGCCAGCCAAGGTGCGACTGAAGGCTCCTCGGCTGCCGGAGCTTCTGTCTCCGCGGGCTCCTCACATGCGCGCGGCTCGTGGGGTTTAGGGTTTAGGGTTTGGGGTTTAGGGTTTAGGGTTTAGGGTTTAGGGTTTGGGGTTTAGGGTTTAGGATTGGGTGTCTAGGGTTTGTTGGCCGAGGGTTTAGGGCCTAGGGCTTTCAGTTCAGGGTTGGCAGAGGTTGCGACTCTCACACTCGCACAAGGCTGATGGAGGCTTTAGGGTTTGGAACGTTTGGGCGCAGGGCAGCGGGTTTTGATAGAGTAGCCCTTTACTGACAAAGTACCTTCAATCACCTTCAATCTGCATTTCCCCGTTCTGTACAGGGTGTGCTCGCTCTCTCTCTCTCTCTCTCACTCTCTCTCTCTCTCTATATATATATATATACGTATATGTGAGCACTGTTGAGCACGACATATACATATACACATAGGGTGATCTGATCGGTGAAGGATCTATTCCCAGTCAGCCCCAGGCCCTACATACTTGTTTGCTTGTGGCCGGTCGCAGAGGTGCAAGTCACCGTCTGCGTGTCCTGGCTAGGGCAATGCGTCCTTGAAACTTCTAAACCCGAAACCCTTAACTCACAATGCTTCACCCTCAAGCCGATATAACTTGAACACTACAGGAGCCTTTCACCCCCGCAAATTGCGCATCCTATACAAGCCTTGACGAAGGACCCAATACCGTTTGCCGGCCTTAAAAGGTATTAGGTCACCAGAGGAAACAAAAACCCTAAACCCTCATAAACCCCAAAAGCCCATGCGAGTCCAGTAAGGCCCCCAAAGTTTCGTTGCTGAGTTCATAAGCCCCAAAAAGTGTACACTTTCAGTTCTAAGTACTCACTCAGCTACTAAGAAAGCTCTAGGTTTCAAGGACGCTGTGTGGCGTCGGCCTCTCCTTTCGAGAACAGCCAGGTCGCCAGTGTGGATGCTCGTAAGCCTGTCTAGAACATCCGGCGCCTGCAGAAGAAACCGGGCCTCCGTAACTTCTACGAAGCTCAGTCTTCCATAGCAGGCAGGATGCACGAGCATCCACGGAGTTGCAAGCTTCGTCACTTTGGAAGCTGCTGAATTCTGTGCACCACTGGGATCTCATTCCTGAAGCTTGCTCATGACGTTCTTTCTTCCGATTCGGGGGCCCCCCTAAACCCGAAACCCTAAACCGGGTAGAGGATGACTACTGTCTACCGTCTCTGCCGGCACTTGCACCACCTCAGACATCGAGTAGAACCAGGGCCCCCCTTGGAACCCCGAAAGTTGGGATCATGTACCCCAAGACTACTCTTATATCTACAAATCCCTACACGAGGGTATGTGAACCATCAACCCCTTTTAAGGTTCACTTGGGCTCCCCCAGACCCGGCATCAAGCTCCCTAAACCCTAACCCTAAACCCTAAAACCCAAACCTTAAACCCTAAACCCAAAAACCTCCCTAAACCCTAAACCCTAAACCCTAAACCCTAAACCCTAAATGTACCAAGCAAACCCAGGTTTTCAAGGCAGGGCTCTTGTCAGCCCTGCACACAGGCACAGGCCTTTGATCAGGCCTTTGATCAAAGGGACTAAAGGATGGACCCTTTTCAAGGGACCTTTGGGGGTGACCTAGGGCCTACATAGGTATATCGGGACTCTATAATATATGTATATACATACATATATAGGTATAAATATATATATATATGTGTGTATATATATATGTATATATGTGGCGGTCATTTAGGGGGCATAAGGTTAAGGGTCCCTTCTAGGGGTCCCTCCTTTTCTCCCTTAGTTTGAAGAAAAATCGGCTGCCAACAGCTCAAACTCAGGAGGGCTTTCCCTCGGACCCCCGAGGATGTACCCCCAAAGAGGTGCCCTTAATGACTTCATGTACACCGAGTACGGCCCGCATATTCCCTTAGAGGATTTTCTAAAAGGGTCCCAAAAACCCAAGGGTACAACCTTGGGGGGGGGGGGGGGGGCGAAGGTGGAGCCCCATGATTCACTCAGCATCGGACCATCTACGACCCTAGACCATGAGACCTTCTTAAAGCCTGCATGGACCATAAACCCATGAAGGTTGCCATGCTCCCCCTTATTCCCCTTTATACTTAAGGACTGTTAGTATAAGGGGGAACATCCTAAACCCATGAAGGGTTCATTCGTCGTCGGGGTTGTGTTGTCTGTTATGACGCGGGCTGCTTTCCCGAGCGTGACTAGCAGCGGACTGTACAACGCACACCCTTAAGTAAAGGGCCAAGCACATTCTGCTGGCTGAGTGGCGCGGCTTGTATTCCACCACAGAGATCTTGCGTGCACATATGCATATATATATATACACCTACGTACGGATGCGCCAAAACATAAGCTACTACACACGCACAAACAAAGAAAACAAACGACAACAAACGCACAAAAGTACACAGCAAGTTTGTTCATCGGCTGTTTCAAGTTCGCTTCCCCAACTCGTGCTGCGCTTTCAAACCCTAAACCCTAAACCCTAAACCAAAAACAGCATCTCAGACTTTCCGGGCGAAGGGATCGGCACCTGCCGGCCACAGCAAGCATTCTCGTGTGGGTTGTTCCCCAGCTCTCCCCCCCCCGTCATCCCCTGTACCAGGGGAAATAGTCTAGGATTCGCCAACTGCGCTTACATGGGATTGTTAATGCTGGCAGTTCTGAGCGGGGGGGGGGGGGGGGGGCGTGTGGGTTGAGTCTGTCTTGCAATGCTGGTTCAAGAAAATAACGGAAGAATGGCAACAACAACGCTCTGGCCCCTGCGCCAAAAACGAGGGAAGTCTGACTGAAGCCTGCAGTCGAATTTTGGGGGCCAACTACTGAACGTCAAGAGCAGCCCTAAACCCTAAACCCTAAACCCTAAACCCTAAACCCTAAACCCTAAACCCTAAACCCTAAACCCTAAACCCTAAACCCTAAACCCTATCTACACCCGATCCCAAGAGGCATCCATGTCGTGCCATGCGCCTGGCGTAAGTGGCGCCTTCAGTTGTGCCTTGATCTCCTAGCAGGTGGTGTTCATTCAACCTAAACTCCCCTTGGAACCTTAATAAAACACATCTGTTTGATATCCTCTTGGGCTTTCTATAAACAAAAATAAACAAAGATCCCAAGGGGGATATGGCAACATGTATAATGGAGACTTGTGTCGAGCATGGCGCCTGCTAAATTACCAGCTCCTTATTCTGCCTGCTCCGTTTCCGTTGTTCTCTCCGTCCGTATTTGCCTTTTTCCTCTCCTCCTCTCTCCTTCTCAGCGATTTTTTCGGTTTGCAGGGACACTCACCATGAATGGCTGTCCAGGGTTCGCCACAGTTGGAGTAAGAAGGAGAACATCCAAAACAAAGGGAATAAGCAGGGCAGGTGATCTTACCCTAAGGGAACCAAGTACCTCGTTCTATACTTGGGCCCAAAAGTCCCTACATAAGAGGTACTGTAAGGCACAAGTACTCCCTATATAGGTGCATGGACCCTAAACCCTTTTTGCAGCAGGCTTGCAGAAGGTCCTCGCCTGGATCCTAAACCCTACACCCTAAACCCTATTTAGGTACCATGGGACCCTTAGGGATTACTCTTAAACTCGCCACTTCCGGTGGGCATGCGTCGGATCCTGGTGCGACAGCAGCACCGGGTGCTCGCGGGAAGCGGGAAAGGCCCTGGTGGGCTCCATGTGGCCTTGGCTGTTTGATTCTACACAGGTTTAGGGTTTAGGGTTTAGGGTTTAGGGTTTAGGGTTTAGGGTTTAGGGTTTAGGGTTTAGGGTTTAGGGTTTAGGGTTTAGGGTTTAGGGTCATTTACCCTAAACACTAACACCCGATCCCTAAAGACCCTAAAGCCTAGACCCTAAAGCCTATGGACGAAGAGTCGCTTAAAGCGCCCAACCCTCAAACACAAAACCTCATCTGGGATGCTTTGAGCTGCAGATCACGCTGAGCCCGATATTGCTCCCATGTTGGATCGGCTTCAACTGCGGAAGAGGATGGGGTCCCCCTATAAGGCTACAAGTAGCCCAAAGTAGGAAGAAGTTACAGACTTTAGACCCCCTAGATTCGGTATTATGTGCATACTTGGAGCCCTAGGGTTCAAGTTTAATATTTGCACACTCATGGAAAGGCAAGGAGCGCGTCTTTGTCCGTCCAAGCCGGCGTGGCTGAACCGGGCCTTCCTGTGAGAGGGACAAGCCTCTTAAGGTAGTTACATGGTCCCTTAGCATGGGCCCTTAAGAGGGGGGCCCTTATGTACCCTGGATAAACTCTATGCAACCCAAGAACCCATTCTTCAGAACCCTCTAAAGGACCAAAACAGGGGACCATGTAACTACTGTTAGAATCCCTAAACCCTGTAAGCCCTGAGCATAAAAGGATTTGGGTTTCACAGGGCCCCTGCAAAGCTAGGTCTGGAGCCGCTTGCTGATAGAGAGCGAAAATTTGGGTTTTTAGGACCCTGCAGCTCTCCACCCCCAATCTCTTGCTGTGCTACAAGCGGGTCATAAGGTCCCAGCACTTGGGTTCCTCAAGTGCAACCAGAAAGCAGCCCGACAGGCGGCAAGGGCCCTGGGTCATAAGGTTGGGAACTTTGCAAGCCAAGAGGGAACTTTCCCTGCAGACCTCTTCAAGAAGGTAAAAAGTGCACAACAATGACCAAGAACATGTCAAGCTCGGAAGAGACCATCACGCTCACCCAAGCCCCCGGCACCAACCCCCCTAAACCCTAAACCCCAAACTCTAAACCCTAAACCCTAACCCCCCCCCCGCACCTGTCGAACAGCGCCGGAGCTCAGACTTCTGCGCGCCGCACTAGGCCTGGCATGCAAACCGGGAACAATACCCTAAGGGTCCAGATACCCAAAGAGCCCAGTACCCCTTAATTAAGGAATATACCTTAAACCATATTCAGGATCCCTATATAAATTAGGCATTAGGAACCCCTTGAAGGCCCAAGTATCTACTTCATAGGTACATGGACCCTTAGAATAGGGAACAGGGCACGGAACCCGTTTGGCTACACGTCCCATCGCTTAGGCCAAGACTTCGCAGGTGTTGGGCTCAGGGCTTGTCATATAAGGACCACGTAGCTACCCTAAGGGAGGATGCTTCCGGATTGGGGAGCACTAAGATCGTAGCTTGGGAGGTCTCATGAGGCATTTGTTGTTCAGGGTTTAGGGTTTCTGCAATTAGGGTTTATGTAATTAGGGTTTCGGGTTTAGGGCTATTTTGCTGGGTTGGGGCTAGAACCATTTGAGGACACCGAACTGTTAACCCGAGGGCACCTGTACCTCCAGGGGGCACCTGAAGCCCTTATAACACCTTCAGAACTTTGCTCGAAGTCTGCACCCCTTTGGCTTAGGGTTTTAGGGTTTCGGCTGTAGGGTTTCGGGTGAGGCTGTAGGGTTTAGGAGATGAGCTCAAAATTTTCTAGGGCCCCAGGGCTCCAGTTATACAAACGATGCCTACATTGGGGGGGTCTCATAGTCTGGAAATAATACCTACGTTGGGCTGTTTTGGAGCCATAGGGTGCCCAGGTACTTATGAGTATGTAAAATCTCTTTTGTGATTTCTGATTGAGTTGCTGATACAGTCCCAATCATTCTGCCATCGAACCTCAAAACCCTAAGCCCCCGAACGAGGGTGCGTACCCTTGCCCACGCCGGAAGCATTGTAAAGTTTCGGCAAGCTCCCTACCACGCGCACCTGCCAGATTCGCGAGGCTCCTCGGCAGGATTCAGGGTCCACGGCTTGTTATCAGATCCAAGTATGTAAGAGGGAGAAGGGAAGGCTCTCTCTCTCTCTCTCTACAACATACCGCAGAAGGATGCTAGACGTGCGGTGGAACAAGACGCGCTGTCACAAGTGCGTCTTGGCACAACATGCGGCAACCGGATACCTAACGTTTGTTCAAGGTAAGTATGGCACAGGGATCCTCGTTTGCACATTCTGCACTACAAGGATGCTGGGCGTTTCAGCATGCATTCCGCATGCAAACATGCAAAAGCACCGGTATTTCCGGCATCTTGCCGTTGCTGCACATGATCATGGCACACCATGGCTATGCACGTGTGACCATGTTGGCTACTGCGGAAGGCCACAGGAAATCGTGCTACATGTGAGCTTCGCGCATTTTTTGCTCCGAACACAGAAGCCCTCGAACACTCGATAAAGGAAAAGCGAGACATGATCTTGATAGTCGTCGTCGCGCGCTGTCGTCGTTGTTTGCTCGTGCTTTCTTGTATGTTCCACGGCCATGATGATAGTCACTGGTAACAGCAGATAAAGGAACATGTGGATAAAAGTTCCATGGCAAACATAATCCGGATGATAATCATGCAGCGTCCACGTTGCTGTTGATAAGTCTGTATGCATTTACTGATTGACCCAGAACTCATTTCATTTTCTTATTTTGGCATTACAGTATCACATCTAAGACAGTTTGACGCCAAGTATGGTTCATCTAGTATCTTGGCTCTCACTTCCTCAGGTGTAATGCTGGACGCAGCTTGCAAGGGATCCTTATCCCTAAACCCGCATAACCCGCATAACCCTAAACCCCAATAACCCTAGACCCTACCAACCCTAATGCCCCTACTAACCCTAAACGCTAACCCTACAAACCCTAAACTTTAAACCAGTACAACCCTATACCCTTGACCCTAACCCTGAACCCCAATAACCCTACTAACCCTCTGACCCTAAACCCTAAACACAAAAACCCTTTTTGAACCTGGACATTGCTTCATGCCAGGACCTAAACCCTAAACCCTAAACCCTACAAACCCTAGAAACCCTAAAACCTAAACCCTACTAACCCTACTAACCCTACTAACCCTAAACCCTTATATGTTGGGCTCACTGGGGGCCTCGTCCCCAATGCGCCGGGCCAGTGAGGCACTCCGCTGCAGGCGACCCTGGCCCGCGTGGCCATGTCCGTGGCCGTGGTGTGCTTTCACCTCTGGGGGTTTAGGGTTTAGGTGAGGGCTTAGGGGTGTTGAGGGCTTTTTTGGGTGGTAGGAGGGGGGGCTTCGGAATTCGAAGGAATGACTGATGCTTCCTGCACATACGGACTCGACGGGAATAGCTGAATTTCTTCAGCAACGTGCACAGCTCAAAACCCTTAAACCCTGAAACCCTAAAACCCTAAGGCGCTAAAGCCCCGAAAACCCCAAAACCCTGAACCACAAAATGAAGCATGCCTCTTGCACGGCACTGGCAAACTGCTTCGCGAAGGCCTGCACGTTCCCGAGGAAGACCTGGAGTGAAAAGGGACTTGTCGGGGCAAGGGCCCATGCGCGGCACGGTGATTTAGGGATCTGCGGAACTGTTACGCCTGCGGTTGTCGCGACGTAAGCGTATGTATGTGCATGTATAATATACATATATATATATGTATATATATATGTATATTTATTTGTGTATGTATATATATATATATGTGCTGTCATGTGTATATATATATATATATATAAGTAAACAATGATGACAGCAACAAGAATGAAGGATAAGAGGGATGTAGTGCTGGGCTGCCCTTGGTCCTTTACATAGAACTGTCTTCCCGCACGGGGGGCACCTGCAAGGAAGCCAGAGCACCTCTCCTTGGTGCACGCAGGCTTTTTAGGGTTTAGGGTTTACGGTTTAGGGTTTAGGATGTTGCGGGGCTGGCCTCCTCACTTACCCTAATAAGGGTCCATGTACCTCATTGTTAAAAACTTGGCCCCTAAAGTCCCTAAATAGGAGATGCCTTAAGGCCCAAGTATTCCCAATCTAGGTACATGGACCCTTGGGGTTATTGCAGGAATCAGAGAAATTGGAGGGTCTCTAATAGTGGCCATGCAGGAATCAGAGTTCAGCATAGAAGCCCCCCCCCCCCCCCCCAGAGACTGAACGACTCTTGTACCCAATCATCATCCTGCCGCCTCGATGTTATAAGCAAACCTTGCGGCCCTCCCCCACGGGGACGCATAAGCAAAGGCGTTACCCGCGATGGCAGGGACTGGCAGGAAACTCGTCGCTACAGACAAACCAGCACCGGAACAACTTCCAAAGCCAAAACCCTGACCCTTTTTGATTTTTGAACCCTAAACCCTAAACCCAAAAGTCTAAACCCTAAACCCTAAACCCTAAATCCTAAGCCCCTGTGCACCAGACCAAGGGTCCGCTGAGGTGGCGCTGCCTCGCCGAAAAATGCCAGAAGCTCTGCAGCCTCTTCTTCCTTTGGTCCATTGGCGGTTTAGGGATTAGGGTTTAGGGTTTAGGGTTTAGCGTTTAGGAGGGTTTAGGGTTTAGGCTGGAATTGGGGCTCCGGCCCCCTTGAAGGCCCCAACCAAGTTACCAGAGACTATACAAAACGAGGCTGTGGTGATTATTTCGTAATTAACCTTTCACTCTCATCCGCACATCAACACCTGTGCAGCCTCGGGGGAAAGGAGGTTCAGAGGCCTTTTGAATGTGGGTAGTTCTCTCATGCATGGCCCGGTTGGGCGCCCTAAATCAACAGCGCTCTGACTCTGCATCAAAATAGGAACATTAAGCTCAATATACAGCACTCTGTATGAAATAAACTTCAAAACACACAAAAGTGAGAGAACTACCCCATTGTACTTGGACCAGGCAGCCGCCGTCATGATCGCCTGCGCAGGATCTTTTTCATGCGCACACGCTTAGCCGAGGCAGAGAGAGGAGTAGGGTTTAGGGTTTAGGGTTTAGGGTTTAGGGTTTAGGGTTTAGGGTTTAGGGTTTAGGGTTTAGGGTTTAGGGTTTAGGGTTTAGGGTTTAGAGTCTAGTCTGCACTGGTGCCGGAGCCCATGTCAGCCCCTCCCCTACGATTAAACCCCCCCTACCCACTAATATGAAATTCTCCACACAAGCCATAACATCACAATAAATGGAGCACTTAACATCGGGGGGTTGGGGGGGGCTAATGTTAGGATTATTAGGGGAAGGGAGTATTCACATTCAGAAAGAACAGGGGTGTACCATACATCTTCGCACTGCGTGTGTTGCTTTTGTGTTCACCCATGTCAGCACAAGTGGCACGACCTGCAAAACGTCTGCGAAATGCGCTGCAACTTTGCCAGGTGTTCTGCGGATGGTGGCCGACTCAGTTGACACACCCATGTCCATCAATGAAGACAGACACACATGCGACAGCAACTGAAAATCTAGAACCTTTGACTCCCTCGCGAACCTCCGCGCACAATCTAATTCCTAGAGCAACCGATAACGTCCAAAACAGCAAGTACATACCCAACATCATTTTGAGTACGTGTCCCTTTGTATGGTTTCTGAAAAGTTACTCACGCAAGCCCTTCTTTCTTTTTCAAGCCCTGCGGAGGGTCAAAGGTTGAATAAGGAAGTGCTTTTGGTGAAAGGGCAGCTTGGTTACCCTGCCGCGCCAGAATGCATCCTACCCCGCCCTCGCCCCTAAACCCCTTTTGCAGCAGGCTTGCAGTCGGCCCTAAACCCTAAACCCTAAACCCTGAACCCTGAACCCTGAACCCTGAACCCTAAACCCTGAACCCTAACCCTAAACCCAAAACCCTGAACCCTAAACCCTGCCTGGCGAACCTTCCGATGGCTGCGCTGCAGCCGCCGCGCGAGGCGACCAAGACGGCGGCGTGCGGCGCCAGGGTCTTCAGGTGTCGAACCCTAAACCCTAAACCCTAAACTCTAAACCCTAAACCCTAAACCCTAAACCTGGATTTGAGGTTGAGGGCTCCAGGGTACCTGGGCGCGCTTGCAGGAGTCCAGGCAGAACCCGGAGGTTGCCGCGGGGGCCAGGTTTGGAGTGTAAGGGCATGCTTTAGGTTCGTGTGGACTGTGTTAGGGTTTAGGGTTTAGGGTTTAGGGTTTAGGGTTTAGGGTAGGCACTTATGCTTTCCTTCAGGTGGTTTCTTTTCGGCCTTTTGCCTCACCTATGAGAAGCCTACAGTATAACTACACTCCAAAAAAAAAAGGTCGACAAACCCAATAAGTACATCTCGATCGAATGAAGGGTATAGGGCTTATGGGTTATGGGTTTAGGGTTTAGGGTTTAGGCCTTAAGCCCAAATCTGTGCCTTCAACTCCCTCACCACCAGCGGAGACCTCCTGAGCTTGGAGGGTCGTCTTTGCTTCTCCCAAGTCCCTCTACTTCTACTGACCCAATAACTTAAGCATAGGGCTTGGTTTAGGGTTTAGGGTTCAGGGTTCGGGGTTTAGGGTTCAGGGTTATGCAACTAGAACCCTCAAGGACCCAGTAGCTTTAGGTCACTGGCAAGTTTTGAGATTTCTTGCAGGGCCCAAATCGACCTGCAGCGATCCGACCTGGTTCTGTGCTGACCTGTCCTTGAGCCAGGAGGAACCCAACAAACAAAAACAAGCTTTAGGGCTGTGGGGTTTACTGAGGCAGGTTTGGCGGGGGGGGGGGCAAAAAATGTAAACTTCTATGGACAACCAGGGCGCTACACAACTCTAAAACTACACTTATAGGAGTGTCTAACTCTGCAGGCTGCAAGATCAAGAACTCCACTCTCCTCCTGCACTTCCCTGCTCAGAACCCGAACCCCTGATGGCCGGTCGCCGCCAAAGCTCAGACTCTCCTCCGCCGCTCTCCTGGTGGTGGGGTTGGGGTGGGGGGGCAAGCTCTATGCCACAGACCCCGAGAGTCATCCACAAGTGGGTCCACGTGGTGGCTTCACAACATAGGGGTATCGCTAATTTTTTTGGGGGGGAGTTCGGGTAATAAGGACGACAATCTATTTTGCGGGTGTAGAAGGAAGTCTCGTAAGTTTGGGAAATAGCCATGTAGGGGTTACCTTATTGGGGTCCTTACTTTAAGGGGATCCCACTTTTTAGGGGGATCTATTTTTGGGGTCCCCTATTCCCGTCATCCCCCATGTAGGTTTGAGCTTGATGTGGAGGGTAGTGGGCTCCCTGTACAAACCCTTACTCCTTGGGAACCACATGAACCCTTTCGATACTTCCAAAAGGGTTTATGGTTCATATATGTCATATACCTGAATAATAGGAGTTATAGTAGTATAGGGTATATGATCCCAATTTTAGGGTTATTTGGTCCCCAAGGCTCCCCTGCTTCTTGATGCAAGTGCGGGTTAGTGTTTTTTTCTACGCTGGGTTTTTTTCCCCTCCCTCCATGACAGCTGGCGCGAATCTAGGAGGGATGATGTCTAGGAGGGATGATGTCGAGGCGGAACAAAGAGATTTGGGGCTTAGGATTTGGGGTTTGGGGTTTAGGGCTAGGGTTTAGGGTATGGGGTTTAGGGTTTAGGGCTAGGGTTTAGGGTTTAGGGTTTGGGGTCCAGGGTTTAGGGATAGTTCGCGGATGTTGCCCGGAATTGGGCCTGCGAAGCCTCGCCTTCGCTCGCCCTGTCATCCTGGGCGCCACATGAGGTGATCGTTTGGGACAAGAAGAAGAAGCGTAGGGTTTAGGGTTTAGGGTTTAGGGTTTAGGGTTTAGGGTTTAGGGTTTAGGGTTTAGGGTTTAGGGTTTAGGGTTTAGGGTTTAGGGTTTAGGGTTTAGGGTTTAGGGTTTAGGGTTTAGGGTTTAGGGTTCAAGGTGTGGGGTTTCGGGTTTAGGAAGTTAGGGTTACGGCCTAGGGCATATCGAATTAACTTATTGAGGGTTCGGGTGCGGAGGAGTTCCGGAAAGTTTCGAGGAGTTTGGAGGAGAGTTTGGCAGGAAAGTTTCGAGGAGTTTCTGCATTAACTTTTGAATAAATTGAAGTTACCGGGGCTTGAGGGTTCAGGGTTTAGGACTTATAGGGTTAGGGGGTTCCTTGGTCCCGAGGGTACGTATGGAGTGCAAGTTCCGAAGGCTTGATCTGTGCTCTGTCAGGACTCAGAAACCCTAAACACTAAACCCTAAACCCTAAACCCTAAGCCCTAAGCCCTAAGCCCTAAGCCCTAAGCCCTAAGCCCTAAACCCTAAACCCTAAACCCTAGCGCTTCTCAGATTTCCGATCTGGTTTTGCGCGCGCGCGCGCGCGCGCGCGCGTGCGCGCGCGCAGCTTGTACTTGCCCGAAGATGCAACTTGGCAGTGCATTTGATGCATTCTTTAACGAAACCTGCACATCGATGAGGTGCAGGAGCTTGTTTGCTTTCAAGTTAGGGCTTAGGGTTTAGGGTTTTAGGGTTTAGGGTTTTGGTTTAGGGTTTAGAGTTTAGGGTGAACGTCTATGTATGCGATGGCTCACTAGAATGCATCACTGACAGCACTTGCAGTTCTGCCACTGTCGAGGCGTGCCTCCCACATGGGCAAGTGCAGACAGCGTCACTGTCCAAACGTGTCTTCTTGCTGATCAAGGGATTCAGCCTCATACCCCTAGGGTTGTACCCCCAAAAGGTTGCCCTCAATATACTCCCAATACGGCCCTCAAAAAAGGACCCCAAAAGCCAAGGGTACAACCCTTAATATACTCCTAATATGGCCCTTAGGGATCCTTCAAAAGGACCCCAAAAGCCAAGGTTACAACCCTCAAGGGCCCTAAACCCTAAACCCTAAACCCTAAACCCTAAACCCTAAACCCTAAACCCTAAACCCTAAACCCTAAACCCTTAAGGGTCCAAGGTAGAAGCCCTCGAGTTGAGAGCCCATTGGGCCGGTAAAGGCTTGGAAAGGCTCGCGGCTTGCGCCATCCGAACCTTCAAGCGAGGGCTCTTATGAAGACGTCTGCTTTGCGCCACAGGCCTTCAGAGTCCAAGACCCCAGAACTGGGAAACACAGAAACTTTAATACCCCTAAACCCTAAACCCTAAACCCTAAACCCTAACCCCTAGCCCTAAACCCTATGCACCCGGAAAGTCGGTCCTTTATCTTGTCGGTGCTTGGACGCTTTGGGTGTGTGTGCGGCCCATGCTCAGTCAGTCCCTTTCAGGGACTTCTGAATTCGCAGGTGCGCGCGGCTCTGCACGGAGGAACTCCGCGATGGTTGCGCTCACCTCTTGCATCAGGGGGCTTTTTGGGCAGTTCAAAGGCTCCTTGGGAACCTTACATGCATGAACCCTAAAATTGGGGTCATATACCCTGTACTAGGGTATATGAACCATAAACTATAAACCCTTTTAGGGCTTTCATGGTACTTAACCCAATTATATCTGTACTTACAACCCAAGTATAACCCTATTAGGGTACTTAAGGGGCTTAGAAGTGGGTTCCTAAACCAGGACTGCTGCACTGCCTGCCTGGGACCCTATATAAACCCTAAACCCTAAACCCTTTTAGGGCTCACTTGGTCCTGGGGTCTGGGGCGCAAGAAGCAAGCTGAAAGATGGGAACAGCTACAGCGACATTGACGCTGATTCTTCAATTTGTCCCGTAAACTCATGGGGTTTCCCTACTAAGGTTTAATGTTAAGGTCACCTTTATAATACGGGTGTCAATAGTGGCAACTTTTCCGGCCGGGATTTTTGCCCAAAAGTTTGTTTCATGAACAGTTTCCATTATGTTAGGCTGCCCCGAACCCTAAACCCCATTTTGAGGGGGGTCGTAATCAAAAAACGGGTGGTAATAGTGGAAACTTTTCCGGGAGAATTTCCCAAATGTGCTTCCGAGAGTACTCCTCTTTTCACTCGAGGCCGAGACCACACAGCTGAGAGTGCTTCACTTCAGCAGAGGCAGTCCTAGAGAGTGCCTTAACTGGTTGAGGTAATAACGCTCGGCCTTGGGGCCGTCGCAAGAGAGGCAGCCAGAGACCCATCTGCAACGACTGCAGACGGAGCAGCCAAAGAGCCCCCCCCTTTATTATTACCACCCCGACCCCTTTCAAAGTTTGTTTGGACCCAGCGCCGGAACAAATCCGGGGGGGGGGGGGGGGGTTTATTAAAGCGACCTTAACATTAGGCTTTAGGGCGACTCCCCCCCCTCTATACTACCCCCCCCCCCCCAGGTTCCCCCATAATTAGGGATAATTGAGGTCAATTAGGGTTACTTCAGAGGGGGTAGTAGGTGAAGAACGCACAAGATTTTGTCGTCATACGGCCTAACCTCCTCAAAAACAGAGTATTACAAGCCTTCCCTACTACGGACCTTTAAACCCTAAACCTTACATATGCTCTTCTTGGCCTTGGCAGCAGTTCCGAAGTTCGGAATATACCCTCAGGGTCCATGTACCTAAAGAGGGACTACTTCGACCTTCAAGGAACTCCTGTTTGCGGGACTTTTGGGCCCAAGCGTATAATACTGTAGTACCTGGACCCTCAGGGATAGTGAGTTTGGACGCTTCTAGGTCGTAACCCCAGACCCTAAACCCTAAACCCGAAACCCGAAACCCTAAACCCTAAACCCTAAACCCCAAACCCTAGACCCGCTCCTCGGCGGGCTCCGACAGACGCCGCTCCAGCTCCGCGCGCAAGCGTCGCTCCCGGTCCAGGCGGTCCTCAATCTCCTTCTTCGTGGCCTGGCTTAGGGTTTAGGGTTTAGGGTTTAGGGTTTAGGGTTTAGGGTTTAGGGTTTAGGGTTTAGGGTTTAGGGTTTAGGGTTTAGGGTTTAGGGTTTAGGGTTTAGGGCGCAGGGAAAAGAGTTGGGATGATCCCCCTTATACCAACAGTCCATAATCGGGATGATAGTACCCCCTACTAGAATCCCGATTAAGGACTGTTAGTATAAGGGTGAACATCCCAAGATAAGAGCTCGCAAGGTTATGGTGTCGGGGTCAGGGTCTAGGGGTCTTTGGCTGGGGCTGTAAGGGTGCAGGACTTTGCATGAATGTCAGCTATTATTATAGGTCGCAGAGCAACCTAGGAAGAAACCGGCTATACCCTTGTTTTGTTTAAAGCTTTGAAATGGAACCGAACCCACAAAACTACAGGTTTCGGATAAAGGGGACTCGAATATGTGGGGATCTAGAAGCGCTTAGGGCTCAGGGTTCAGGGATTGCAGAGCCTGTACAACGGTATGGGGTTTGCAAAATCGGGCGCAGGGCTGGCAGGGCAGGCGGAAGGGCTTTTGGATGGAGCCCGCACAAACCCAAAACCCTTTGCGCATCCGGACTTGGGCAGAAGCCCGAAATCCTAAACCCTAGACCCTAAACCCTATTCTAGCAGTAAGATTGATACCTTAAAAACCAGAACTTCTGAGGTTGGAACCATAGGCCCTTAATTAGTATGGTCCCTTACCTGTCTCCGAAGTATGAGCCCTTCTTCAGTAGAGTGTATATGGGTTTAGGGTTTGGGGTTTAGGGTTTAGGGTTTAGGGCTGTCAAAATTACCCTAAACCCTGAACCCAGTAGGGTTTAGGGCTTCGGGGCCTTAGGGATCTCCGTTGGGATGCTATCCCCTTATACTAACAGTCCTTTTCTGGGCATTCTAGCACCCCTCATTATAATCCGGATATCAAGGGCTCTTAGTATAAGTTTGGAACATCTCAACCCTAAACCCTAAACCCGGTAGTGTTTAGGGCTTCGGGGGGCTTGCAGTTAGGGATCTCCGGCCTGTAGCTTCTCAGTCAGGCCCAGGTCCGTCACGAGCGCCTCCTTGCAAAGGTCGGACTCGGTTTTAGGGTTTAGGGTTCAGGGCTTCTATCCCGCAATGATATTTTTCATCTATGATTAAGCAAGTATATGTCTGTTTTCTTTGTTGAATCTACCCCTAATTTTGAGAACCCTAAACCCTAAACCCTAAACCCTAAACCCTAAACCCTAAACCCTAAACCCTAAACCCTAAACCTTGGCCTTCATCTGGGAAATCACGCGGCTGCTCGCCCCCGACAAGGTGGCTGCGAAGCTGTCGGTCGCCACCGCCGGCCGGAGCCTTCGCCATCAGGAGGGTTTAGGGTTTAGGGTTTAGAGTGTAGGGTGTAGGGTTTAGGGTCAGCTTCGTACCTTTTCAGGGTACCTTTTTTCGGGTCAACATGCCAGAACCGCCCGCATAACTCACCCAAACAAGGAGCCACCATAATAGCTTTCATCAACTGGGGCTCCTGTGAAAGCACGGAGTCACAGAGTATACTCTTCTCCCTAAACCCTGCAGTAAACCCTAAACCCTTTTGCAACTGGAAACCCTAAGCCCTAAGCCCTAAGCCCTAAACCCTAAGGCCCTAAGCCCGAAGCCCTACACCCTAAACCCTAAACCCTAAACCCTAAACCCTTCGAAGTCTGTCGGGGATTGGGCAGCATCGGCTCGGGACCCACATTTCAGGCTGACAGATCATCCGCACGATGAGACCCTATACTGGAGCAACTTAGGATCATGAACCCTAAGCGTCCATGTACCCAAATTTAGATTAGGCTTAGGGTGTAGGGTTTAGGGTTAAGGGTCCATGTACCTAAATAGGGAATACTTGGGCCTTAAAATCTCCTCCTATAATGAAAGGGACATATGGCACATGGACCCTTCAGGGAAGGTAGGTTTATTTCATGGGGCTCTACCTGGACCCCTAAGATGCTACCCTTTGGGATTTCGGACCCTTTCTTAAGATCCTAAACGGGAAGATAAGGACCATACTAGGAGTATGTTAAGGGGAGCCTTTTGGGGTACAACCTTAGGGGTGCAAGTCACAACCCCTTGTTTATTGGGTGCCGGGCCTCTCCGCCAGTGTCTTCAGGGAGGCGACTTGCTCAAGCAGGCGCTGCTGCGTGTCTTGCCTGTCACTTTGGGCATCGTCGGCCCCCGCGGATGCTTATCCTAGCTTCGGTTATGAACCCTGAACCCTAAACCCTAAACCCTAAACCCCAAACCCCAAATCCCAAACCCCAAACCCCAAACCCTAAACCCTAAACCCCTCCCTAAAGTCTCCGAGGTGAGCTGCAGGGCATCGAGCTCAGAGTCCGGATCCGATTCCGTGTGGGCCTTTGCCTCCTTGGCTCCAAGCAGCACGCACAAGAGGGTTTAGGGTTTAGGGTTTAGGGTTTTAGGGTGTAGGGTTTAGGCATGTTCATATTGAAGTGAAGTGGGGGAGGGGGGGGAGACGATGCCAGGAAGCAAGCAACCACCTGAAAAAAACGTGGAATCTCTCGGGAAATGGGGCTTAGGGGTTTTAGGGTTTAGGGTTAGGGGTTTCAGGCTTTAGGCTTAGGGGTTTTAGGGTTTAGGGGTTTTAGGGTTTAGGCTTAGGGGTTTTAGGGTTTAGGGGTTTCAGGCTTTAGGCTTCTTTGGGGTGTGGGCTTTAGAGTGTAGGGTTGAAGGGTTGCTTAGAAGTAAGGATGCAAATATACGAACACCAAAAGCAGAAGAAAAAAACAAAAACAAAAAACAGCTACTTCACAAACTTCAAGGCTCCTTGTGTCGGCTCTTCACATCCTCATCTGACAGATGCTGCTGCAGGCTAAGGAGTTCCCTCAAGCTCTGCTCTCGCTGGTGCTTCTCAGAGTCTTGCGCCTGCTTCTCGCACGCCGCGAAGCTTTCTGCGGCATGTCGCCGGGCATGCTCGTGCACCTCATTCCGGGAGTGCTGCTCCTGTAACGCGGAGATCTGTCGGTGATAGGACTTCAGTTCCTGCCGCCGGCGCCACAACTTGTCTTCTTCCACCGTCAGAAAGGGTGCTGCCTCCCAGTACGACTTCTGCTGAGATGGAGCCTGGGCGGTGGTTGCATCCGAACCAGCGTCCAGCACAAGCGGATTATGTACGTATCGAGAACCCCTATACATTTCCACGGCAACAACGAAAAGCTCCTGAGCTCGAGTAGGCTCCTTCTCCCGCAGTTGGCAGCGCTTGGCCGCGCATTCGTGCGCCTCGCCACGCACCTGCTCCAGCGCCTGCTCATGCAATGCTGCATCCTCGTGTAGACGCTCCTGAGCTTGACAGTTCACTGCCCCTCACTACACCTGATTCCGACACTTCTAGTGTTTTTGGGTGCTGGGTTTTGTTTACGGTCTCCAGCAAGGTTCGACGTACCTCAACAGGGCATACTTGGGCCTTAAAGTACCTCCTTTTTTCGGCCCTAAACCCTAACCCGAAGGACCACGTACCTCAATAGGGAAGACTTACCTCCCATATAGGGACTTTTGGGCCCAAGCATAGTCACATGGTACATGGACCCTTAAGGTAAGCTGTTGGGACAAAGGAGCTCTCGCCCTACTTTAGGGTTTAGGGTTTAGGGTTTGGGGTTTGGGGTTTAGGGCTTAGGGTTTAGGGCCTGCATGGCAAGCAGCCTCCACCCTGTGCTCCTCCACGCAGCCTGCCTCGGTGAGCCTGCATTGTGCCTCTTCTCCCTGCAACGGCGCCCCCGAGGAAGATACCGTGGGTTGAGGAGTTGGGTTTAGGGTTGAGGGTTTAGGATTTGGGGTTTAGGATTTAGGGTTTAGGCATGCTTTAACTATTACCATGTAGCACTCTCGCTCTCTCTCTCTCTCTCTCTCTCTCTCTCTTGCTTGCTAGGCGTATGACCCTTGTGAGGGGGCCGCCCCGAGGCACGCACGACAGAGTTTGTCGGTGTGAGAAAGGTGCTGGTGGAGGTGGCCATTCAGCTTGCAAAGCGGGTTGACAAAGAAGAAGAAGAAGAGCATAGGTTGGGTAAAAATTGCCGTAGGTTTTGGTGGCCTTTGGAATCCCCACTGGAGCAGGTTCACTCCCGCACCATGACCTACTATTGCTCTTTGGCGGACACCTTGCTTGTGAGTTTTGGGTGGACATCAGAAGTCATGCACTGTTGATGTAGCTTGTCCCCCTCCACTCTTCTGTCAAGCTTGGCGTTCCCTTCACCCCTCCACAACTCTGTTGACTTGCTGGTTTGTCTTTGGCTATCTCTCGCTCTCTGTCTCTCTCTCGCTCTCAGTCTCCGTCTCCGTCTCAGTCTCTCTCTCTCTCTCTCTCGCTCTCTCTCCTAAGTGTTTGGTTTTTTGAGAGACAGGATGGTAATTGTTTCTTATTTAGGTCTCCCGCCACCCCATCTCAATCTACGAGTACACTGGACTATGACCCTAAAATTCCATGTACCTAAATAGGGAATCTTGGGCCTTGAAAGCACCTCCTATTTAGGGACTTGTGGGCCCAAGTATAAAATAATGAGGTACATCGACCCTTAAGGCCTTAGGGTGACTTCCTTCTCAATAGCTGGTTCACCTCGATCGAGAGACAGCTTTCGGATGCTTGGAGAGGGAGCCGACACCAGCAAGTTTGCTAAATGCAAGAAGACCTGTCAGGTTTCCATGCGACCATTTCGTCCCCCCAAATCCAACCCTACAGGGCGTTTTGGGGGGCCTAAACGATCCTAAAACCTAAACCCTAAACCCTAAACCCTAAACCCTAAACCCTGCCTCGAGAGCAGCCCGAAGTGCCTCAAGTCTCATTGCAGCCGCCTGGAGCTGATGTTCTTCCAGCTCCTGGAGGGGTTTAGGGTTTAGGGTTTAGGGTTTAGGGGTTCAGCTCCTGGATGTTTTTAGGGGTTAATATAGGGGCCTTAATACTTGAAACGTGATTTGTTTTTCTGTTTTTTTTTTTTCTTTTTCTTTTTGTTTTTTTTTTTTTTTGGGGGGGGGGGGGGGGCGGGGCGGGGCGGGTTAGTACAGTATATTTGCAAAGGGATCATGAGGGAATACTACCAGTAATTATATCGACCCCCTATAGTTTAAGGTTTCGGGGTTTAGCTCCTTGGATGTTTCCGGGGTTTAGGGTTCAGGGGTTTAGCTCCTAGGAGCTGTTGGGGTTTGTTTAGCTCCTGGAGTTTTTTGGGTTTGGGGTTTAGGGGCTGAGCTCCTGGAGGTTTTGCGGGTTTAGGGTTTACGGGTTTAGCTCCTGGAGGTGTTCAGGGTTGAGGGCTTGCAGACAGTACCCCAAGGCTCCACATACCATATTATTCGATACTTGGGCCCAACAATCCCTATATAGGAGGTACTTGAAAGCCCGAGTATTCCCTATTTAGGTACATGGACCCTTAGGGGTAGGTTCGGGCTTTAGGGTTTAGAGTGGGGTTTAGGGTTTAGCTTCGTACTCCAGGGGGCGAAGTGAGAGAGGCCTGATGAGTTACTGGCAGCCTGCAGGCGGTGGCGCGGAACCCGAAACCCTAAACTTAAACCCGAACTGAACTCTAAACCCTAAACCCTAAACCCTAAGCACAATCTCCGATCCCGGAAGTGAACGGAGACCCTCGACCCTCCTGAAGCCCGTTTTTGGGTTTAGGGTTTAGGGTTTAGGGTTTGGGGTTTGGGGTTTGGGGTTTGGGGTTTGGGGTTTGGGGTTTAGGGTTTAGGGTTTGGGATCTGCAGGGCTTATGGGGTTTATAGGCTTTATGCGGTTTAGGGCTTAGGGAGCTGCACAGTCGTGATCGGGAGCTTGGCTGCCAAGTGCAGAAAAGGGGCCAGGCCCCGATGCTCCCTCTCGCGCCTGGGTTTAGGGTTTAGGGTTTAGGGTTTAGGATGTCGGGTACAGGGTATCGGGTTCAGGGTCTTTCTGCTGCAGGATTGGGCTTTCAGGTGGATGGCTTCTAACTTAGTTGCTGAGTTCATCGGCCAAAAAAAGTGTGCACTTTCAGTTCTATAGGGGAGTATAGTATCCCAAAAAGTGTAAGGTGTACTCACGCAGCTACTAAGCTAGCGGTACTCTTAAGAGTGCATGAGCCCTGGGGTGCGCATGGCAGGAACTCGATTCAGCTTTGTGCAGGGTTGAGGCTTGGGGTTCTGCTGGCAATGAATGTACACAGGCAGGCTGTTTGATCTCGAGGACCAGGCATACAAAAGGGGTGGCGACGCTATTCTGTCATGGTGCGGAAGACGCCCTGGTTCTTAGTAGGGAAGGAAGGAATTAGGGCCATATATGTATACATATATATATATATATATGTGTACATATGTGTATACACATATATGTATATGTGTGTGTGTGTGTTTTCCTCATTCCCTACGAAGAACAAGACAGAAAACCGAGAGATTCAAAGTTCACGCACTGGCTATAGTGCCAACCCCGCAAACCTCCCCTTCCCAAGAAGCTGTATAGGGTCCTTAAGGGAGGAGTTCCCTATGGCTCCCTAAGCTTCCCAATGGTTGTAGATGGGAAGTTTGGGGTTTAGGGTTGCTTAGGGTTTTAGGGGGATTCTGTTGGGAGTCCTCTAAAGGTCTGAACTTGGCTGCACTTTGGAGGGTAGTAACAAATTTAACTTTTAGCTGCCTTATTCAGAAACCCAATAAGCCCCAAAAAGGCTAAGGATCTAAAGTTCCAGTAAAGCACCACAAAGTGAACAGAGCTTGCGCGGGATTTGGCTGTGCCGACGAAGACGCTGGCGGAGCGTCTGTTGCATGGTCCGTGCATCCTCCGATGCATGAGCTAGCTCCTTCCAGCTTCGTGGATCCCAGACGCAATGATCTCGCCTAAGCCCTAAACCCTCAACCCTAGACCATCTTAGACCCTAGACCCTAGACCCTAACCCTAAACTTATCCGAAACCCTAAACCCCCACCCCCCACCCCCTGCCCAGTTACAAGTAGAGAGTGAGAAGGGCCCGACATTCGGTTCACCACCGTCCAAACTGACAACGTAGGAATGAAGTCTCGAGGTTGTATGTTGAGCCCTCCCTGTAATGGTGCCTTCGACCTGAGACTACAAGTGCAACAGGGCCAAAAGTTTCAGGGCTGAACCAGTAACAGACCTTGAAGTACATTGGCAGAATAAGAGAAACTGCAAGATCTGCTACGTTTCCACATTGTGGTCACTTAGAGCAACCCAGGTTCAGGGTTTCGAGGCCCCAGGTCCGAGAGCCTGTTGCCAAGGTTGTATTCACACAGGGGTCATGAGGGGGCCAGTCTGGATGTTCGTATCTAAGGTTGGACCCATGGGCCCTTAGTATGGTCCCTTACCCTTGTTTCAAACGGAGTTAAAGGGATCCGAGGTATGGGCCCATATTATGTACGGTGTACATAAGGGTTAGATAACAGAGGACCCAAATTAAGGGCCCATACTTCGGATCCCCTATCTTATGAAGGCGGCCAAACCCTTTTCCTCCCGGGCTCCAACCTTAAGATTAGGGTTTAGGGCTATTAGGGTTTGGGGCCATTAGGGTTTAGGGCGATTCGGGTTCAGAGCTATTTGGGTCTAGGGTTTAGGGCTATTACGGTTTAGGGTCTCTAAACCCTAAACCCTAAACCCTAAACCCTAAACCCTAAACCCTAAACCCTAAACCCTAAACCCTAAACCCTAAACCCTAAACGGGGTTGAGGCTCACACGCCCGAAGGAATGGCTCCTGCTGTGCCGACTGAAGCTGATGGGCCTCCTCTTCATGCTGCTCCCAGCGCTCCTCCCGCTGCAGGGCTATCCACAAACAAGCTAAACCCTAAACCCTAAACCCTAAACCCTAAACCCTAAACCCTAGACTCTTTAGGGTCTAGGGTTGAGGGTTGAGGTTCTCAAAGGTTGTTTGGGGGGGTCTGGTGCTCCACATGACTCTGCATTCAATGGGTGTACAAGGTTTGGGTTTCGGGGGGTGGTGGTTCAGGGTTCTGATGTGGGTTTAGGGTTTAGGGTGTAGGGTGTAGGGTTCATTTGATGTCTACGCGCGCTTTTGGGCGACTCCTCGTTGGCGTGTCAGTTTTTTGCCACTGCCTCCCTGGACGAAGCTGCGGGGTTTGGTATGGTTTTGTGGCATGGCATAGTGTTGCGTGCATGCTCAACTCGTGTGCAGGCTTAAGAACGGGAAGCATCGTAAGCGTCAAAGCATCGCATGGCCTCGTAAGGGGTGGCGCATGCGATCCCGAACAGGTGAACGAGACATCAGTCACACCAAAGACGACAGATTGAGCAACCAATTATACAGGGGAGTTGCAGGGAACAACCCCGCAAAGAGAAGGTGATTGGCGGAAACCCAGGTGACCAACAACCAGCTCAAATCAAATGAGAGCAAATTCCAAAACCACAAGACCTAAACCCCCAAACCCAAATGTCTGAACTGTCTACACCCCGATACTCAAATCCCCCAAAAACAGCTGGCTAAATCCTAACCCGTTGAAACCCGAATCACAACCCCTTATTTGCATCCAGGCCTGCGTGACTGTTGTCAACCCCTAGACCTTCCTTCCACCCGTTGCCTTCCCACCTCCCCCCAAAAAACACACATAAAAAAAGGAAAAACATAAAAATAAACAAATCCTACGGCACACCCTGCAGAAAGCTACATGAACGCTATAACCGCATGTAAACCCCTACGTCGATTTTCTATGTAAAGCCCGTGTAAAGCGATGTCAACCCTGGAACACTATGCAAGCCCTACACGAATTTTCAGTCGCTCCTGTATGAATCTATATCAACCCTAGAACTTTATGGTCTTAGGGTTTAAGGTTTAGGAAACCCGGTAACCCTGCATCACTTGGTAGCCCGCACCCTTTTTTTATGGGTGGTTACTTTAAATTGAACCAAACAAAAGGGTAAAGTGTACCACTGGGCTACCCCTAAACCCTAAACCCTAAACCCTATAAATCCTGCATAAGCTTTCAGGCGCTCCTCAAGTTCGCGCAGGCGTCCCTCCAGCACCCCCTGGCTGCGCCGCGAGCTTTCGGCCTCCGCCAGCTCATCCTGGCGGGCGCGACTAGGGAGGTTTAGGGTTTAGGGTTTAGGGTTTAGGGTATAGGGTTTAGGGCTGAGGGTTTAGGGTTTAGGGCTACTGTTGAGGAGCTGGACTTAGGCCAGAATAAACACGGATACATGGCACAGTCTATGTGGCGACTTCGAGCCTATAGCGCGGAGGAGGCAGTTTAGGGCCAACTTACAACTCCTTGGGATTCTCTGAAGGAGTTAAAGGTTTAGGGCTTATAGGCTCTAGGGTTAGGGTTTAGGGTTTAGGGTTCAGGGTTCAGGGTTCAGGGTTCAGGGTTTAGGGTTTAGGGTTTCGGGTTTCGGGTTTAGGGAGGCGGTTTTGAGTCATCCACCTAGCACGCTCTCCCGACCATGCCCAAGTATCTGAGGGTTTGGGGGGTTTGGAGGCTACAAACTTCATTAACTCCTTTTGCAGCCAGGTCTCTGTGCAGCCAGCCGGGTTAGTTCATTAAAACATAAACCCTAAAACCCGAAACTCCTTTATAGGGTTTGTGAGGGTTTGCAACGGTTTATAGGCCTTCGAGACCCCCGCTCGCGCGCGTAGATTCTAGCATTGTGACGAACATCTGAACGGCAACGCTGCGGACAACGCGGCTATTGGCTGTCTACGACCCCTCGAAAGTGTCGCGTATTCCATAGTCGGTTATAAGATTGGAAAAGGCTCTCGCTCTCTCTCTCACTCTCTCACTCGCTCTCTCTCTCTCTCTCTCCCTCCCTCCCTCCCCCCTTCTTCCTTCTCTTTAGGAATACATGATCCCATCCGAACAAGGGAACAAGCCATGCAGCCATTCATGCAAGCAGCACGCAAGTTTCAACCCACAACTCTGGCCTCAATTTTCAGTACACGCACGCCCCGACTTCTTGAGAAACCTACACGGGTATTGTGGCACGGTGACAAGGGCCCCCACAGTGAGACGTAGCTCAGCGGATTGCCCCGTCAGTGCTCGTAGTGACCACGTGGGATGAACGGGTTTAAAAGATCAATGCGGATTCAGCGAGCGACTGGGGCAGAAAAGAGGCGAGCGGTTGAGATAACAACCCTAAACCCTAGGGGTTATATACGGGATGTAATGCCCCAAAAAGGGTTAAAGGTTACCCACTCTACTACTAAGAAACGAAGAGAGCCGAATGCCCAGGACAAAAATCCGATCGCCCAAGTTCCAGTCGCAGGTACAGGGCCTTTTGCGAGCTGTACATGAGCCTGAGCCCTGCTGGCCGAGTTCAGAGCACGGCTGGAAAACAGTTTGTCTGGACTTCCTTCATGTGCAGCCTTGGAGTAGTTTCTGGGGCTTCGGGCTCTCCTGGAGTCGCGGGAAGGTTTGGGGTTTAGGGTTTAGGGTTTAGGGTTTAGGGTTTAGGGTTTAGGGGTATCATGAGATACCCGGAAGGCATCCAGCGCTATCTTCGAGGAGAAGAATTCGAAGTCGAGGGGATCAGAGCTGGTCCGCGCAAAATCGAGCAGCTTTGCTGCTCGTTTAGGGTTTAGGGTTTAGGGTTTAGGGTTTAGGCGTTGGAAGGGTGAAACCTGCGTCCATAACCCGGCTTTCGCCCTGCAAGACTTGCCACGGCCAATCTCGGATTGGCATTCCAGGATGGACCTTTTGGGCCTTTTGAGCCTCATTTAGGGTTTAGGGTTAAGGGGGTTGGGGTTGAGGGTTGAGGGTTTAGGGTTTACGAGGGTATTATCGCTTCCCCCTAATACTAAAACCCCCCCTAATTTCAAATATTATTTTTCCCGGACGCTGCCGGCACCCAGCCCAATACTAAACCTGTTCAGGGCCTTCGCCCTTGAGTTGAGCCCATTAGGGTTTCAAGGTTTAGGGCTGAAGGCTGACAGGATTCGGATCCAGGGCTCAGGCTTGGAGGGTTTAATTATTAGGTTTCGGAATTCAGGTTTTAGGATTTAGACCCCCCCCCCCCTAATTTTAAATTATTTTTCGGGCCCAGGCGAATTTCAGAATTAGGGAGGGGGGGACGGATTTAGGACAAGGGGGAAGGGATTTGTCGTCCATCCTGGTGGCTGCACTGCGCGACTGCGCGAAGGCACAAGACCACTTGAAGGTTCGTGGTACTCATTCACCAATATTATAAACCCTAAACCCTAAACCCTAAACCCTAAACCCTAAACCCTAAACCCTAAACCCTTACGTATAACTGTACTTATAAGCCCCTTGAGTGCCAAAAATATGGTTATAAGTACTGTTGTAAGTACAGATAGAATTGGTGACTAAGTACCATCAATGAACCTTCAAGCACGGAACAGAACTCGCGCACAGCGCCGCCGATGTAAAACTCCGCTGTGGCACGTGCGTCGCTCCGTGACTCTCCGTGCTCCGGATGATTTTGACGAAGCCTCTGCTACTACTTGCTTAAGAGCCCGCCCCAAACACTGCACACGTGCTCTTCCTTAAAAGGGTCGTATAGGGATTGTTTCTATTGGGTTCTTTTTTTTGGGGGGGGGGAACTTAAGCAACAGCAGTCTGCCAAAGCTTCTCCGCGTGATGACCTCGACCCCTGAGTTCTCATCCGAAGCAACGCGACAGAGGGGTGAAGCAGAGGTATACATACATAGTGATCCAGTTCCCTGTGGACCAAATGAACCCTAAAAAGGCTTTTGGTTCATATACCTTAATAGGAGTTATAGTCGTATAGGGTACATGACCCCAATTTGAAGGTTCATTTGGTCCCCAAGGTTAGCATCATTAAAACACAACGTGTTTTTCCGTGAATGTGGAGGGGTCTGCGTTCCCGACTTGACCTACTTTGACGGCGCCGCGGCTTTCATACTCTCGTGGCTGCGGTGAGGCTTGGGTAATTGTAAGCAGTGCCACGTGATCACTGCGAGGGGGACCACTATAAGGGTGATCCCAAGCGCATCACACCCTGGTGGGGTTTCAAATTGGAGGAGGTAGTCGAGAAAGACGAAGAAGCAGAAGACAACGAGGGCGACCAGCACCAGGAGAAGGGTCATGAGCCGATCCAAAATAAGGCTGGCACGTCTTGACTGCAGCATCCAGGCGACGCGAAAGAGGATGCGGAAGAGGATTGGAACCACTCCCAACCAGAGAGACAAGCCATAGAGGAAGCGCAAGCCGTTCAGCAGGCGGGTTGTATCACCGCGCTGGGTAGCATGCCATAGGTGCCATGCCGTCGCATCAAGCATCACCCAAAAAAAAATCGGGCTGGCTTCGGCCAAATGCCGAAATGAAACCAAATAGTTTGAGAGCTGCTCTGCAAGTAAGTCCCCGACCTCGTGTTGCACGTGCTGCTCGAAAGCCTCGACACTACCAAACCATGTCCGAATGCACCGAAGGAGGATCACCCGGTCACAGGTCAAAGGCTCTTCGCTGCCGGGCCTCTTATGCCTTGCTTGAAGGTTCATGGTACATAGTAACCAATTATAACTGTACTTATAACTGTACTTATAACCATATTATGGCACTTAAGGGGCTTATAAGTACAGTTATAAGTACAGTTATAAGTACAGATATGATTGGTAAATCAGTACCATGAACCTTCAAGTAGACCAGCACCCATATTAGAATAAGGGTATACCCTTTTTGGGGTTAGTTACTTTATAACCCAGAGGGTCCATGTACCTACATAGTATATACTTGGGCCCTCAAGCTACTATATAGGAACCCCTTTAAGGCCCAAGTATATACTATATAGATACATGGACCCTTAGGGTAAGGGAGTTCTTAAACCAAAAAGGGAAAAGGTTACCACTGGGCTACCAAGATGCTCTACCGAGCAGCAGTGGCATTGAGCCGTGTCTACTCTGAAGTGCCCGATTTGCTGGAACATGGTGGTTACGTCACGGCAGTACCTTAGCTTTGGAGTAGACCCTAAACCCTAAACCCTAAACCCTAAACCCTAAACCCTAAACCCTAAACCCTAAACCCTAAACCCTAAACCCTAAACCCTAAACCCTAAACCTATTCTTTTTAGGTATGAGTAGCTATAATAGGAACCCAGAACAAAAAAAGTAGTAAGGTATAGTACTCCAAGACCCAGGTACTCACGGGCCAGGTGTGCAACGTAGACAAAAAGTACCACACCACATGCAAGGACCTTCATCCCTGTTCCCCTAGGAAGAAAAAGGGATCCTTTTTTTGTTCATATATAAGAAAGCCCATATCCCAAAAAGTAAAAAAGGATCCCTAACACTGATCTAGGGACGATGAAGAGCAGGTACAGCGCGGACTTTGGTGACGTGGTGGTGTTGAACGCCACGTGATTGGCAAATCCCATGAGCATCAGCGCAAACCAAAGCGCGCACATCATGAACCCCAACATTGTCCTTAGTTGTCCAGTATCCTAGGGCAAGTAATTAAAGGTCCTAGGGAATATAATACCCCAAGAAGTCTAAAGGTTATCCACTCTACTACGAAGTGTCGGCCGGATAATGATGCGCGGCTTCTCACCTCGGGGCCTGCTGTGGATGAAGGCCGCAAGCTCGAGCACACACCACAAGCGCCGTACCCAGGAAGCGTCCCACAGCACCACCATGCTCCTTTTGGGGACGACAGGAACCCTAAAAGGGTCTATGGTTCACATATATACCTTAAAAAGGAAGGGTCTATGACCCAACTTCAGGGCCTAAAAGGGTCTATGGTTCATATACCTTAATAGGAATCATAGTAGCAAAGGGTCTATGACCCAACTTTAGGGCTTAAAAAGGTCTATGGTTCATATATACCTTAATAGGAATTCTAGTAGCAAGACGGGTCGATGACCCCACTCATATATACCTTAATAGGAATTACAGTGGCAAGAAGGGTCTATGACCCCAAGTTTAGGAGTTTAGGGGCTGAGTTCGTCCCCAAGGCTCTCGGAACTCTTGAGGATGGCGCCCATACTGGCGAGCCCCTCCAGTTGGAGTTGACGGCTGTGCCTATACTCCCCTTAGAACCTTAATAAAAATGACATCCCAATAGGGTTTAGGGTTTAGGGTTTAGGGTTTAGGGTTGATATACACAGCTATAAACAGAAATAAAAAAGAATCCCAAGGGGGATGTAGATGCTGAGAGATGCAAACCCGGTCGAAGAAGACCAGCTTTCGGGGCTGCCACAACAGCGCGGTCAGCAGGTACGTCAATGAGCCGATGCTCAAGCAATACCAGCTTTCACCTTAGTAGTTTAGTAACTATATATATATATTATATTTTTTTATCTTAGTAGCCCAGTAACTATATTATAGTAAGGGCACCCTTTTTTCGGCTGGTTGCTTTATGAGGGAACCAGAACCAACAAGAAGGGAAAAGTGTACCACTGGGCTACCAAGTCGCCCTCATCGTTGGTCGGAAGCCAGCCCAACCCGAAGACCAGGCATGTAACAACCGCTGCTAGGGTACTTACAACCGTGGCAGCAGTGCCTGTGTGAAAGAAAAACACGGTGGCAATCTTCCTTCGGACAGAACCGTGCCAGCTGTGCGACCAGAATGCATGTATGTGGGTTGTCACCTGACTCAAGCGATAGAAATCCTCAGTTGCCCAGTACACAAGCACGCAATATTTGAACTGCAACTTATGTTTCACATTAACTAGGTTACTATACGCAAACGGAGTCTCCACAGCCATGCCTGCCGAGAAGCGCCACCCACTCTCATTGGTCTGGCCATACCCGCTAGTACTTTCTGGACACGCGCGGCCCGGATAATCTGCGGCCGGGTGGCCTGCATGCTGGCAATGAAGTCACTGGTAAGCCGGGCCTTCCTGGTAAGATGAGCCTCCTCCCGAGCGTCTTCTTTCTCAAGGGGTGCCAACTCCCGGGATGGAGACAGACTGTCGATATCAATCTCAAGGCAGTCATCTGACGTTTCTGACCTCTGGGCCAGGACCACATGTAGCTTCTCCGGATCTGTGGTCGAAGTGGCTCTTTCCGGATGCGGCACCTCCCCTCGATTCTGGAGATGTCCCAGCGACATGGCTTTGAATGGCTCAGAGATCAGGGGCTTGAGTGTTTTTTTGTGTAGACCTTCTAGAAGCTGGGGCATGTATGCCTTTTGTGAAGCTTGCGCAGCTTTGAAGCACATTTTAAGGATGCCTTTGTTTGTTGAGGGGTGGGGGAGGGGAAATAAGGCTGTAAGCCCAAAAAACACTTCCGAAAGCCGAGACAAGGACTAAGGACTCCGCAAAGGCATGCTACACTCTCTCACTGTACATATATATTTTCATAGAGAGAGAGATATGTGTATGCTGTCACACACGCACTCTCTTTCTCTCTCTATATATCATGTATGTATATCAACGACACGTATGCCTTATACGTGCCCGTCTGTTTGTTGTTTGATTACGCTCAAACTTTCAAATGCATACATTACTACAACAGAGAAGCAGAATGACTGCAACAGAAGCTACTCTAAACCCTAAACCCTAAACCCTAAACCCTCCACAAACTGCGCACCTGGGCTTGGGACCGCAGTCGCTGCAGGCGCTGCGCCAGCTCCGGGGCTCCCGCAGCCCCTGGGGCTGCAGCCCCGGCCCTGTGGGTTTAGGGTTTAGGGTTTAGGGTTTAGGGTTTAGGGTTTAGGGTTTAGGGTTTAGGGTTTAGGGTTTAGGGGGGGTTGACAGGGGTTATAGTAGGTTTTAGGCTGTAAAAAAGGTCTAGTTTGTAGGTTTCAGGAGGGTTTGAATGGGTTAGGGCCTCTATAGGGTTTTGGACTTGGCGTTGAGTTGGGGGTTGAGGTGGTTTTTCCGGATCAGGCTGGCCTAGCGTCGCTTAGGTCAGCAGACACAAAAAGCAACCCCCTGAAGAGCATCCGCGGGGCTCCTTTCTCCCACGCGCAGGCCTCAGCTGGTGTTTAGGGTGGAGGGTTTCAAGACTTTTGGGTGCCAGGTTTAGGGTTTAGGGTTTAGGGTTTAGGGTTTAAGGTTTCTTCACTGGCGGATGCGCTTGGGTTTCAGCGGGCTGCGAAGTTGATGCGGCATCTCGTTTGCGCTTCGGCCTGCAGATGTATGGTAGTATCTATACACTTACATAAAAAGTAAACTGAATATAAATATACATGAAAATTATATATATATATATGTATATGTATAATTTGTGTGGTGTGTAGAGTGAGATAGATGCCCCCCCCCAAAAAAAATCAGTGTAACTCCCAATAACCATCTTACAAGAGGGGCACCATTTTTGGCGTTGCTTTTCTTGTGTAAAGGATGTTTTGAAATTCCCCCCCCCCCCCCCCCCCCCCCCCCCCCCAAAAAAAGAATTAACATGGCCAAAGGCCTGCCACTCCAAGATAGACCTCAAGCCCTAGACCCTTGTACCAAGGATGTCCAGCAACTTCGGCGCTTTTGGTTACAGTTGGCTAGGTTGTTCAGTAGCCCCTTAGGGGAGAATTTCGAAATACTGAAATACGAAGCCAGAAACCAAGCATGCTTGAAAAGTACACTACTGAACAGCCGAGTTGAACAAGTTTCAACAAACTTCGCAATTGAGTATTGAGCCTAAACCCTAAACCCTAAACCCAGGGTTGAAGTCGGAGGTCTCTGTGTCGACCTTAAGTTGGGATGTTCCCCCTTATACTAACAGCTCCTAGATAGGGATTCTAGTACCCCCCCCCCCCCCCGGCCTACTTTTCCCTTTTTTAAGGACTGTTCGTATAAGGGGGGGGAACATCTCAAACCTTAAGCTATCTGTCCGGGTATATGTCGCACCACCGCGGCTCCTTCTTGCAACGCTCTCAGAGATCCTTTGACAAAAACATGCACTGCTTGTGGTCCCTTAAGACAATAATTACATCCCACGAGCGCGAAAGAAACAAGAGCGATGTTTCTTGCCTCGGGCGAAGTTCAGGGAGTGATCACCTACTCTTTTGAAGGTCTTGGGAGTTACATCCCTCGCATGGCGGTCTACCTCAAGGCAAAGCTGAGCGACGTCGGAGACTTGCCCGAACGGAAGCGGCCGAAAAGGGAGCTGGCCGAGAAGGGCATTGCGCGTCTGCTGAAGGCTCCGAAGGCTTCGCAACCCCTAAAATACCTTATGCAAAACATACACACACATATTTGTGTATATATATATAGATATACATATATACGTAACCTAGGGAGGGAGGTGGCAGCTCGGTATAGAACAAGCTGCACCATTCAAGAAGATCTGTGAACCCCAGCACTGTTCCTACCAGAGACGCGTGAAGCCCTTGAGCCGGCAGGGTCAAACAAATGTAGGCATCGACACGGACGCAGAGTTTCGGGTTTAGGGTTGGAGTTTAGGGGTTAGGGTTTAGGGTTTAGGGTTTATGGTTTGGGGTTTGGGGGTTGGGGTTTAGGGTTTAGGGTTTCGGCTCTCACATTCGCACAAGGCAGGCAAGGATTCGGTCGGAAGGTCCAGTCAGTGCCAAGAGCATAAGGGTTTAGGGTTTAGGGTCACGGCAAAGCAATGTCAGTGCCAACTACTTCAACGACATTCAACCCATGCATACACAGTATCCTTGTGCGTCACTTCATACACCCCAGACCCTAAACCCTACACCTTAAAACCCTTAAAACCCTAAACCTTGAACCATCTGGGGGCCTTAGCCCTATAGACCCCGAACCCTATGCTCCAACGGGCAGGCTACTGTAAGCATGTGGCAACCAATGCCCCTTTGGCTCGCAGAACAGTGTACGAGTAGCAAGGTCTCTAATGGCACACCCTAAACCCTAAACCTTAAACCCTAAACATCCCTTAACCCTAAACCCCATAAACCCTATAAACCCTAAAAACAAAAAGCGGCAGACCGCATGGTGAGGTCTCTGAAGTATGGTCCCTTTTTGTGGTACCCTAAAGAATAGGGGCCGCCATAAAATAAGGACCCTCAAAAGGGATAGTGAACTGACTATGTAAGGAACTCCAAGCTCCCAAAGAGCAAGGAGTTTAGGGTTTAGGGTTTAGGGTTTAGCTTTTAGGGTTTAGGGTTAAAAAAAGGAAATGCTTGCCGCCCAGCCACCTCGCTCTCATCGGCTTGCCTGCAACCCAGAACAAACATCAACACCCAACCCCGAACCCGAAGCCCGTTGCCCCTAAACCCTAAACCCCAAACCCGAAACCCTAAACCCCAAACCCCAAACCCTGAGCTTGCGAAGCCAAGTCGACACAACGCCACGTGAACGATCAAGTCAGACAAGCAAGGCGCGCAGAGAATTCCTAATTGCAGCTTCAACTTAGCTGTGGCAGCTTCACAGTCCTTGTGATTTCGGAGGATCTGCTATAGCCACTCTGCTGTTTAGGGGAAGGAAGTAAAGCGTTTAGAGAAACGAAGCAAAGCGCCCCTTCTGAAACACAAGCGGTTGCAGGTGCAGTGTAGGCCTTTCGGGATCGGCCGGGGTGGGCAAGTACCTATCATCAAGACCCTAAAGGTCCGTGTACCCAAATAGGGAATACTTCGGGGCCCTAAAGTACCTCCTATAAAGGGACTTTTGGGCCCAGGTATACAACAATATGGCACATGGGGGCATTAGGGTACTAGGGCCAGCAAGTACATGAGTCGTGATTATGCAGGTCCCGCTGCGGTGCATAAGGCGTGGCACGGCGCGGCGTTGCAATTCTTGGAACACCCCCACCCGCCAACTCTTAAACAACAACCGGTCATGGCTATACAAGCATGCTCCAGATGATGCAAAAAAAACACGGGTCTCAAACTCACGGTCGCTTGCGGGGTATTCCGAAGAAAGTCAAGCTCAGAAGTAAACTGTGAACCCCAGGAAAAGAACCATGAACCAGCCAGCCTAAAACCCTAAACCCTAAACCCTAAACCCTAAACCCTAAACCCTAAACCCTAAACCCTAAACCCCAAACCCCAAACCCCAGCCTGCCCATCTTCACCGCGTCGGTCTTTGCACGCTCGGATGGCTTCGCAGCCTGTGAAAGGTGCGGCCGCTGCGCTGTTGTGGATAGGGACTCAAGGGGTTGTACCTAGGACCCTTAAGGTTGTAGCCTCGGGCTTCGGGGGCCCTTTTTAAGACCCTTAAGGAAGTATGAGGGCCATATTCGGTGTGTATATATATATATATAGATATACATTTTTGTGAATTTATGTACTATATATTTACGTATCTACTGATTTAATTATAAGGGAACCTTTAGGGGTACAACCTCAGAAGTGCGAAGTGTACCAGGAGGGCGCTTTGGATATAAGTTGTTTATAACTTGGTTATAACTTAGTTATAAATCCTGTAACTGAGTTATAAGTGAGTTATAAGTATGTCGATTTTTGTTGAACTTATAAATGTTTATAAGTCACTTATAATTACTTGGCCTGTCGGACTTATGCGGACTTATGTGGACTTATAACTACTTACGAACCACCTTTTTTTTGTTGTCTTTGTTGTTGCTTTTCGTGTCATGTTGTTGTGATAAATCGGCTTTCCTTGTAGCTCGACTTGCCATTGCAGCCTCAAGGTTTTGTCCGTTTTCCCACTTGTAGCCGCGCTATGGCAGCCGCACCAGTGCGTCATGTTTCCACGCGCCGGGCCACGCAACAAAAACTCACTAACATCCTGCTCTACGTTCCGCAGCATCCTTTTGCCACCCTGATAAAATACCGGACAGCGCTGCCAATTGCGAGATCCTCGCTTTTCTCGCCGACGTGCTTGCGGAGCAGTGAGTTGCGGAGAGCTCCCGGGCTATGTCCGCGGGATGTCCGCGGGTGTCCGCGGATGTCCGCGGCCTCCTCGGCCCCAGTATAGGCCTTTGCCTAACAGAGCATGTCCGCGCGGCCAAAACAATGTGTTCTGCTGGGGCTACACATGTAGGGCCAAGTTTTTCACGCCCGGCTCCCTGCTTTGGATCCCTATATACCCTCAACCCCAAACCAGCTACCAGAACCCAAGCCGAGCAGACGGTGGAAACCTTGCAGTGCCACAATTGCCGCTTGAGCATGGCAGTCTCCCAACGCCGCCAGCACGGGCTACGCTGCCTGCGTCGGACGTGCGAGAGTGTCCAGTTGGCGGTTGCGAAAATGGGATGCGAAAATCACCATTCCTGGCAAACGGACGGCGATCGTACAAAATACAATTTTGTGAAAACCTGTAGGACTTAGGTCTACTTATAAGTTACTTGTAAGTTACTTATAACTCACTTATAAATACTCCAACCTAAGTCACTTATAAGTGGGTTATAAGTCCGTAAGTTCAAAGTGTCCTCCTGGTAGCCCCTTGAGGGACCATATTCCTGAACCCCTGCCCAAGTCCTTGCAACCCTCAACCCTATAAGCCCTAAACCGTCATACCGTAGACCCTTTATAAACCCTATAAACCCTATAAACCCTATAAACCCTATAAACCCTATGAACCCTATAAACCCCAAAACCCAAAACCCTATAAGCCCTAAGCCCTAAACCCTAAACCCTAGACGCCCTAAACCGTCATACCTCTGCCTGCAGAGCAGCGCAGAAGCTCGGCCTCAGTCGCGCCAAGGTCACCTCGGCAAAACGCCAGTGGGGTTTAGGGTTTAGGGTTTATGGTTTTTGCTTTTTGTGCTTTACAGGGTTTAGGGCTTTAGGTTTTGCAGTGTTGCTTTTTGCTTTTTGTGCTTGTTGCTGCTTTCCCCTTCTTGCTTGGTACACCTCTCTGTACAGGATCTAGGGTTTAGGAACTGGGTTTCGGGTTGACGAACTGGGCTTCGGGTGTAAGCTTATAGAGCCTAGGGGATATGTAGCAACCCTAAACCCTAAACCCTAAACCCTAAACCCTAAACCCTCAACCCTAAACCCTAAACCCTAAACCCTAAACCCTAAACTAAACCCTTTTTGGAGGACTTTGCTGGGCTTATCGTGCAACATGTGTTCCCTTAAAGACGGGGACATGCACCTCAAGCTCTCTTTTTTAAAGCCCCAGGACTGCGGAGGCCCCTAGCTGATTTTGGGGGTTTAGGGTTTAGGGTTTAGGGTTTAGGGTGTAGGGTTTAGGGTTTAGGGTTTAGGGTTTAGGGTATGACGGCTTAGGTCTTAACGGCATCCTTCACTTCGTTCGTCATGTTTGTTCAGTTTGTTCACTCCGCTCTTAGAGGGCCGGGGTTGGGGGATTGGAGAAAAGAGAACTGGGGGGGAGGCTTGGCGGGCTCTTCAGGCTCATGATAAAAACCGTTTAGGGTTTAGGGTTTACAAATTGGGTTTAGGGTTTAGGGTTAGTAAAAGGGATGGTTCATGCTATGAGCTTTACGAGTAGCAGGAAACATCTGCTTTTTCTCACTCTTACAGCAGATACGACACTGTTACCTACTTCAGGCTGATAAGAACTGAAGCTGTGTTTGAATCATTTGCAATGAGCAGAACAAGCAAGTTGTGGCATTGAAGAGTATGGAGCAAACCCCAAAACAACCCTTCAACAGGCAGACACCACTCCAAAGGTTTCCCAGCCGTTGCCAAGTGGGGCTGTCTCAGGCTTGGGCTCAGGCACGAACCTTCCATGCTAATCGGCACGTAGGATATGAATGCCACCACAAATGCAACCGCGATGCGAAAACATCCTCATCCTGGCAGTGGGAATGACCGCGGGAAGGACACCAACGCAAACTCTCACAGCACATGGTGGAAGGTTCCCCAACACTGTCCTGGTAGCCCAGTAACCATATTATACTAAGGGCACCCTTTTTGGGTTGGTTATTTGATCAGGGAAACCATAAACAAAAAAATGGTAAAGGGTATCACCGGGCTACCAAGCTGTTATCTCACCCGTGGCCCAGACTGTCTTTACAACCTCTGCCTCCTCCCCAGTTCCCCCACCTCCTTCCCACCTCCCCCCACAGATGACAATGTGCAAATATCCCAAACGCTAGACCCGACAAATCCTAAATTGAACCTACAACCCGAATTTCTTCAGGCGGACAGCTCCCATGCCTCATCGGCCACCCCAAAATGGGCAGCGCCTTCAGGGAGCTCTAGCTCTCTCTCTCTCTCTCTCGCTCTCTCTCTCTCTCTCTCTCTCTCTCTCTCTCTCTCTCTCTCTCTCTCCTGCACGCTTAGCCCCCCCCGAAGGGAAGGCTGCCCCTAGGGGCGCGCGAAGTCCATGGGTGCGTTGGTTAGGAAGGGCCACGGTTTTCACGGCCCTTCTGAGAATCACGAGGCGTGTGGTTTCCCCCTGGAAGTCAAAGCACGAAGAAATGCCCCCATAAGCCCCCATGTCGGTTATACCCATCTAGTTTTGGTCTTCGGGTTCCCCCACTCTGTTCAGCCTCGATGTTTGCAACTTGCTACTTGTTGCTTCTACTGGTACTCGCCTGGCCCAGGGTTGCGGCTTCCCCCTTTTGGATCCCATTGTTGGCTGAGGACTGCGAGTTAACGATAACTGAGGACCATAGCATGAGGGTGAAGAGGGTGCATATGTTGGGTTCCCCCGCTCTGTGTCCCTGTTCTGGCCGGCTTGAGGTTGTCTACCTTAATCACTACTTGCCCCCTCATGTGTTCTGCGTCGTCGGGAGTCATAATCGGGTAGCGGGGAACCTCGTCGTTGTAGTTTTGGTCTCCGGCTCACCGCTTCTTCTTCTGACGTAGCGCTCTTCGGTGAGGTGAACTCTTCCGTGGGCTCGTTTGGCTCTCCAAGACTGGTGTGGTGGTGTGATGGGTGGTGTTGTGGGTGGGGGTGTTGTTGTGGTGTGGTGCCGGTGGTGTTGCTGTGTAACTGGGGTGGTGGGGGGTGCCAGGGGATGGTGTCGGGTGTCGGCAGGCTGTTCGGGGTCATGTCCCCCGCTTGGGTGTTGATGAGGTAGACTGCCTCCCCCCATTGGCTGGACAGCCAGTCATCCAGTGCCTGCATGGCCTGGGCGGCTATAATGGCTTCCTGCTGGACCAGGAAGGGAGCCAGCTGGGCGAGCAGCCGGCGTGCGTGGACGATGCGTTCCTCATGGGCTGGCTGTGGTAGTTGTTGTGGCCTGTCTGCGTGGCTCTCCTCCCCTCCCTTGTCGAGTGCTAGGACGTTTGCTGGGTGGGTAGCCTGTGCTCGTGGGGATGTGATATCGGTGTTGGGGGCTCGCGGCTGCGCTTGTCCTCCTGAGGGGGGTGCTGGGGCCTGGGTTGGCGGCTGAGACCACCTGGGCGCTTCAATGACGGCCTGGTGGGCGTCTCGTGCTTGTTGTGTGTGTGTGAGTATTTTCCTGATCTGTTGTTGGAGTAGCTGTTGTTGTTGTCTGGAGTGTGGGTCAGCCCCCCCTCCGGGGTTTTTGTTGAGCTGTTGGAGGAGCGCTTCTGCAAGTTCCAGGCTCACCTGTGCCGCCACTTCCCCCCCTCCCCATGTTTGCCAGTCATCCACCCTGGTGACTTGGCCCATGCGGTGGATGCCCCTGCGGATGAGCTCTACTGCTGTGGCCAGGGTGTGTGTGAGCTGCCGGGTGTTTGTGGGCGGGTCGCCTTCCAGGACCTGCTGGAGCTGCCTGGCCGCTTCGTCCAGCTCAATGGCTCTGGGTGTGTGGTGTCGGTGTGGGCTTTCGGCTCTGTATTCCTGCGGTGGGTGCCCGGCGTGGTCTTGTGTAGGTGGTGGCGGTGGCTGGGTTGGTGTCCTGCCGTGTGGTCCTGTTGGTGCTGTGGCGCTGCCTGCTATGTTGCCCCCAGCGGCTTGAAGGATGGTCTTGCATTCGTGTAGGTGGGCAGCCACGTCTGTGCCGTTGCTGGGGTTGGCTTCTGCAAGTGCCTGGTCGATGTGGTATAGGACTTGTTGTCCCGGTGTCATGTTGTGCAGGTTCGGCGACTGCGTGCTCGTCTGCGTGGGCTGGTCTGGTGGTTGGTGTTTGTTCGTCTTCTGTGTTCGCCCCTTTCGGGTTGCTGGTTTTGGCTTGTGGCTCGGAGGTCTAGTGTTGCGTGGTGCGGGCTTTTGGGCTTTTCTTTTGCGGGTTCCGTCCAGGCGCTGCATGAGCTCAACCGGGTCCTCATCATGCGTGGTTGGGGTGGTGTCGGTGATCATGGTGGTTGTGGTGACGGTGGTGGTGGTGTTGGTGGTGGTGTCAGGGTCGGCCGCTTCCGCCGCGGTGGCTGTGGTGGTGGTGGCGGTGTCGGTGGCCATGGTGGTTGTGATGTCGGCGGTGGCGGTACTGGTGGTGACGCCGGGGTCGGTTGCTTCAGCTGTGGTGGCGGTGGTGGTGGTGGTGCTGGAGGTGCTGGAGGTGGTCGTGGTGCTGGTTGGTTCTTGGTTCTCCGGGTTCCTGCTGTTCCTCCACCAGGCCTGCCATTCATCCCACCACGTGTTGTCATGCTGGTGTTGGTGGAGGGTGTCTGCTGTGGCGTGCGTTTGCTGACTGTTCTGCGTTGGTGTCGCTCCTTGTGGTTGTCCGTGTTGGTTCTCTGCTTGTGGGTGGGGGTGCGGTTGTTGCCACGTTCCCTGGTTGTTTGTGGTGGCTGTAGTGGCCGCTTCCGTGGTTGCAGTTTGGGTCGCCGGCTGCTGCCGGCTCCCCTGCGGTGAGGTGTATGGTGGTGGGTAGTAGCTGTCTGGTACCGAGCGGTGGTGGGCGCTCGACGGCTGCGGGGGTCGGTTTTCGTTGCGTTCTGCGGGGTTGTCGGCTGTTGGTCGCCAGTCGTACCACGCGTTGTACGTCCAGCCTGTTTGCCCTTGTGGCTGCCAGTGTTGTTGTTGCCAGGAGTCTGTGTTCTGCCACGTGTCTGCGCTCTGCCAGGTGCCCGGTGGGTGCTCTCTCGCGTCGGCTGGGCTGGGGTCGTCTGGTGGTTGTTGTTGCGGTTGCGCTTGGTGAGGGTCTGGCTCCGTGGGCCGCGGTGTTTCCGCGGTTGGTTTCATGCTGTTGTGTTCGGGTGTGGTGGGTTGCTGCGGCGTGGGCTCGTGCTGTGCTTGTGCGGCGGCTGGCGTGGTGTCAGTGGGTAGGCTTGTGGCTCGGAGGTCTAGTGTTGCGTGGTGCGGGCTTTTGGGCTTTTCTTTTGCGGGTTCCGTCCAGGCGCTGCATGAGCTCAACCGGGTCCTCATCATGCGTGGTTGGGGTGGTGTCGGTGATCATGGTGGTTGTGGTGACGGTGGTGGTGGTGTTGGTGGTGGTGTCAGGGTCGGCCGCTTCCGCCGCGGTGGCTGTGGTGGTGGTGGCGGTGTCGGTGGCCATGGTGGTTGTGATGTCGGCGGTGGCGGTACTGGTGGTGACGCCCTCTCTCTCTCTCTCTCTCTCTCTCTCTCTCTCTCTCTCTCTCTCTCGATTGCTAAGGATATAGAAGGGGGTTGGGATGTGCCCGCTTATACTAACAGTCCCGGCTACATCCGGCTAGAAGTGCAGGGTCTTGGCTTACTGTGGGTTGCGGCTCGCTTGTTGATGCGGGGCCTGCACAGCCCATCAACGAGCAGACGGCCATGGTATTGCATTCTATATAATCGGTGGGCTCCTCACAAGCCCAAACCATGTACACTCAAATCACGTTCCCCCCCTTGTAATGGCAAGTGCCCATGTGACAGCCCTCAAATATCCCAACTTCTACGCCCTCGAACTTTAAGCCCTCAACTCGAAAAAGCGCGACATGTTCAAGTGGAAAGGCGACATCTTAACGTTGCCATGGGGATTCCGCATCTCAACGCTTGCCACGCTTCAAGCGATGGTTTTCGGCATTGAGGACTTTGGCTGGGTGTCTGTCACTCAGCCCTACTGTATATAGGGTTCAGGGTGCAGAGGTTAAGCCCTAACCCCTCAGCCCTTGCTGAACTCGGAGCTTCTACAAACTGCACACCCTGTCGTGGTGGGGCTTAGGGCATATAGGGGCTTGGGGATACCAAGCCCTAAACCCCAAGCCAGCACCAGCCGCAGCGGGACCTTCACTCTTGGGGGAGATCGGCGAGAGCGCTTTCTCGGGGCTGTCGTCCTGGCAAGGACGAGCGGACGGACTTTCGGGAGGAAAGGGCTCAGGAGTAGAAGCCAAGAGGTTGGAAACTCAATAGCCTCAATCCCTAAGAGTGAAGAAGCTCTATTTGTCCGTAAGAGGATTCCAACTTTTTTGGGGCTTACTGTAGGGTTTATGATGGTTCAGGGCTAATAATGTTGGACCCTCTTTAGTAGGGGCCTCCCCTTTAAAGTAAATTTGGCCGAATTATTCAGGACCCCCTGACTGCTTGCGGGGTCCTCTTTAAAGTCCACTCTTCCGGGCGCCGTAAGAAAATTCCACGTGGCGCGCCTTTAAAAAAGATAACCGGGCATCGCTGCCCCTTTTAAACCTATCTAAACTCCTCCCTATTGAAATCATATAAGCCCCCGGGGCCGTGTAATCAGGCTCCCATCCACGCCTCGACTGTTCAGCGGGGGGGTGGGGGGGGGGGGGCCCTACAGATTAAAGAGGGTCCAACATTAAGGCTTAGGATGGTTTAGGGTCTTTGGGGGTTAAGGATGGTTGAAGCTTTTGGGTTGACACTTCGGGTTGATAGGGACCCGCATGCGGGTTTAGCTCATGGTTTTCTTCTGCCCCAAGCGCCGGGCGGACAAGCGAACAGGGAGCCAGCTTTGGGGCATCCAACAGTTTCGGCTTTGGTTTAGGCTGTAGGGTTTAGGGGTTGTAGGGGGTTCTCTTTAAGCAAACTAAGCACGCTGGAAGAAGAAAAGGGGCGCCACAGGACCTAGATCCGCAAGGCAATTCGGAGAGCAAGTTGGGGGGGGGGGGGGGGGGTCCAAAGGGGCATTTCATCAGGACTGGGCACACCTGGGTTGGCCCTTAAACCCTGAAAATATTTAGATATAGGGCCCCTTATAAACCCAAACAAGGAAAATGAACAAATGTCCCAAAAACCAACCTAGGCACCTCAAAAAAACCGTCTTCGGAAGAAACCCCGCCACTAAGCCGTATACACCGTTTTTGCAGCTGGGCCCCCTTCCCTGAACCCTACCAGCGTTGAGGGTTGGCAGGGTTTTAGGGTTTAGGGTTTAGTGTTTAGGGAAAAAACCCAAAAACTCAGAAAAGACTGCAAACGTGTAAGAACCGGTGCCGACGCCTCCATCCACGACATGCGGGGAGCCTGCAACGGGGATCAGTTCTGAATGCAACCCTAAACCCTAAACCCTAAACCCGGAACCCTGAACCCCAAACCCTAAACGGGCTTCGGGCTACAGTGGCTGCCCTACGATTGAACTCGTGGGAATGCTCAGGCTTTGACCTTTCCTGGATGCAGGGTTTAGGGTTTAGGGTTTGTGTGCCTGCTGTGTGTAAGATATGTAAGTGCATGCACAGGCATGGCACCACTAACCTGCCACCTCCTGTGTTTTACCAAACTTGTGGAACAGTCACAAAGGAGAATTGAAAGGCACAAACATCCGGCTCGGTCGGTCTGTACCTCGAAATCCAGCGCCCCGCCGTAGCTCTTCCGAAGGTCTCCAGCACCAGAGAGTGTCTGCCTGAGCTTCCCAACCCTCAACCAGGTAAACCTCCCAGATCTTCCAAGACCCCTTACTTAAGGTATAGACCCTACTTCATAATCATGATCCTTAGTATAAGTTAGGGTATATTCTTTAATTTTGGAAGATCTGGGAAACCTTATAGAGACTTGCAACGATCATCAAGGGTGCCCTCATAACTTGTCTCATGAGGAGGCGGGTGGGGACAACCTTCCACGCTGTCGCTGGAAGCCAAACTGGGCCCTACCCTAAACCCTAACCCTAAACCCTAAACCCAAAATCGGGCCCTAGACCCGAAACCCTTCTAGCCCTTAGCCTCCCCACCAGCTCGCTCCTCGCGCCAAGATGCAGCTTCTCAAGCCACCGCCTGCGCGCAATCGGGGGGGGGGGGGGGGGGGGGGGGGGGGGGGGGCGGTAACCCCCACTAATCAGAGGGGCCGGAGTCATAAACCCTTTCATGGGTTCATTTGGTCCGCGAGGCAGGGGCTTAGGCCCTCTGGCTCTCGGGTGTTTCACAAGCTAACCTGAAACCTTTCAGCCCGAACCTTGGGACGTGCCCTCTGACCCTAACAGTCCTCAATAGGGACTTTACTGGGGGGTGCTCTAGTCACAAGTAAGGACTGCTAGTATAAGGGCGAACACCCCCTAAACCCTAAACCCTAAACCCGAAAACCCGAAAACCCGAAAACCCGAAAACCCTAAACCCTAAACCCTAAACCCTAAACCCACGCACAGGTACTCTTTCGCTGGAAGTCGTCCTTGGTGCCCCATGCCTGGTGGCGGGCGTCGCCGCACCAAAGGCAGTCCAATTGGCTGTGCTGTCCAGCTGCTCTTGGTCCTGGCATCGAACATCGCGGAGACTGGTCTATAGATGAGTTTTGGGCGCGCGATTAGTTTAAAACACATGTGTTTGTTATCTCTTGCTTGCTCAGGGAAGGATCCACACATGGTGCTGCAACTGGCATGTGTAGTTATTGCGGGTCTTCAAGCGCCAAATGTGCCACGCCTTTGGTGCATACATTCGTGAGATCGTGTTGGGCCGAAGCCAATGAACTTGTTCACTTTTCTGTCCATCGCAAGGCTGTTGGAAGCTTGCGCGTGTGCACTTGTGGCAAGCGCAAGCTGGGCACAAGTGGCAAACAAAGGGCCGGACCACTGCAGCATTCAAGCTGCAGCAGGTCCCTAAGGGTCAACGTACCAATACTTGGGCCTCAAAAGTACCTCGCATTTAGGGCCTTTTGTGCCCAAGTATGTAATAATGAGGTACATGGACCCTTAGGGGGTATGAAACAAAAAGGGGCTGTTCAAGAAGGAACGCATCCGCATGCCCCCTATGATAGTCCCTATGAAGGAGCTGTTGGTACAAGGGACAGCATCCAAAGCTGAGGAGACCGAAGAGAACAGCCCCGACAACATCTTTGCTCAGGGACATCCTAAACCCTAAACCCTAAACCCTAAAACCTAAACCCTAAACCCTAAACCCTAAACCCTAAACCCTAAACCCTAAACCCTAAACCCTACGCGAGATGGCGCAAGCCAGGCGCCGGACATCTTCGGACCACGAAGGCGGGCCATGGAACTGGTGCACCTCAACCACTTGGAGGTTCAGGGTACTTATAAAACCCAATTATAGCTGCACTTCGAAGGGTTTAGGGTTTAGGGTTTAGGGTTTAGGGTTTAGGGTTTAGGGTTTAGGGTTTAGGGTTTAGGGTTTAGGGTAACTGTACATATAACCGTACTTATAAGTCCCGCAAGTGCCCTAATATGGCCATAAGTACAGTTATAAGTACAGTGATAATTGGTGAATAAGTACCATGAACCCTCCAGCCGGGGATCCCGAGAACCGACACAACACGAAAGAATAGATAGACAACTAAGTATCATACATAGAGAAACTGAGAGATTTGCTAAAAAGACAACAACATGTGCACATATATATATATAATTAGAAATAGTAACAGATGAATGAGAAATAACAATAGCAATGTCAAAATGCACGAATTTTACACAATAGGTTCTGACTTTGGACCTCTGCTGGTGCCATATTTTAATAGGGATCCAAAGCGGGACTACGTATAATTTTGACAACCACCTATATAAATAATTCTCTTTGAAAAAAATTCTGGCTTTGGCCCTAAACCCTAAACCCTAAACCCTAAACCCTATACCCTAAACCCTAAGGACCTCTGCAGGTGCCACTGGCGCCACTGGTGCCTCGAGCCGCCGCTCGAGCGCGGCGCGCAGGTGGCGCTCCCGCGCGCAGCGGGCCTCCAGGTCGCCCTTCCTTTGGGGGGCCATCTGAACCCTACAAGGGTTTAGGGTTTAGGGTTAGGGTTTAGGGTTTAGGGTTTAGGGTTAGGGTTTAGGGTTCAGGGTTTAGAGTTTAGGGTTTAGGATTAGGGTTTAGGGGGTTTATAGGGTTTGGGGACCACGTGAACCCTAAACGGGTCTATGGCTCACATGCCTCAGTGGAGATTAAAGTAGTGTAGGGTATATTGAAAGTGTTTATAGCTCGTATATCTTAGTTGGGCTTCTACTAGCAGGTATATGATGACCCTAAACCTAAACCCTAAACCCTCAACCCCAAAAATTTGGTCCCCCAGATTCCTGGCTTGCAGCCTCCGTATGAGGGCCTCACGCAGGGCCTTGTTGGGCACCTCTGCCTTGTGGGTGGATTCCTCACAGCCTTAGTTGGGACCACGGTTAGGGTTTAGGGTTTAGGGTTTAGGGTTATATACTACTAAAATCCTTATTGGGGCAAATGAACCATAAAGCCTTTTCGGGTCCATTTGGTCTCACAGCCTTAGTTGTCCAGTGTTTTCTAGGGGAACTAAAGGTTAACCTTTGGGAATTTATAGGGAACCCTAAACCCTAAACCCTAAACCCTAAACCCTAAACCCTAAACCCTAAACCCTAAACCCTAAACCCAAGAAGGTCAAAGGTTAACTATACTCTGCTACTTAGCAGCAGAGGCTGCGTGCCAGACCCTCCACCAGACTGGCTGCTGCCATCTGCTGGGCACGCTCCCGTGCTTCGTGCTGGGACAGCAGCCTCCTCAGAACGCGAGACCTGTCGCGGTAGGCTTGAAGCTGCTCGCGCTTTCGGCTCCTTGGCCATAATTTGTCTGATAAGCTTGTTGGGGTTGGTTAATTGTACAAGGGAACCCATAACCCCAAAAAAAGGGAAAAGGGTACCACTGGGCTAGCAAGGCTCAAGTTCTCGGCCTCGACTGCAGGCACCGCCTCCCAGTACCGCTGCCTCAGCAGCTCGCGCTCGCGCAGCTGCCGCAGCTGCCCTCGGAGCTGCCGAACCTCAGCCTGTGCCGCTGCAGCAGACCGGCGGAGCGCGCCCTCCTCCCTTGACAGGCCCTCCTTAGTTGTCCAGAATTTTGGGGAAAGTTTTTTAGGTCAACCTTTGGGATTATCTAGGGAATATAATGCCCCAAAAAGGTTAAAAAGGTTCCCCACTCTACAACTAAGCCTCCTCCTCCAGCCTCATTTCGGAGTAGGCCGCCTGCGCCAGCCGGCACGATGCCACTTCCGCACGCAGCGCGGCCCGGGCCTTCTCCAAGCGCCGCGCGGTCGTCTGCAGCTCCTATACTCCCCTTAGAACCTTAATAAAAATAATGTGTTTAACATTCTCTTGGGTTTTATATACATAATTTAAAAAAAAAACAATTCCCAAGGGGGAACCCAAGGGGGACATAGGCTCCTGCAGGCGCTCGCACTCCAGCTCCTTCTCTGCCCTGGCCTCCTGGGCTTGAGCTGCATGCCTCTTTGCATGAACCCGTGGACCCCTCTGTTAACTGAGCTCCTACGTGAGCCTCTCCTCAAAAAAAAAAACACCCGCGGAAAGCCCCGGAAGCCCTCCCGTAGAAGCCCACCCTAAACCCTAAACCCTAAACCCTAAACCCTAAACCCTAAACCCTAAACCCTAAACCCTAAACGACTGGTCTTCTGAGCTCCTGAAATTCCACGAGCTGCTCCTTGGCCTCCTTGCGCCTGGACTCCAGAGCTTCCAGGGCCGCAGCCTCGGCCCAGTGCCGGGCCTCCAGGGCCTCCAGGTCCCTCAGCCGCGCCTCCACGAGCGCGTGCAGGGTTTTGGGTTTTGGGTTTTAGGTTTAGGGTTTAGGGTTTAGGGTTTAGGGTTTAGGGTTTAGGGTTTAGGGTTTAGGGTTTAGGGTTTAGGGTCGGGATCAATACCGCTCATATAACCAAAACGACCCAAGAGCCCCTAAACCCTAAACCCCTAAGCCCCTAAGCCCCTAAACCCCTAAACCCTAAACCCTAAACCCCAAACCCTAAACCCTAAACCCCTAAACCCCTTCAGGAACAGCCCCTGCGCTCTGGCTGCTTTGCCTCCCAGGTCCTTTCCTCCTGCCGGGCTTCGGCAGATTCGGACTCCGAGGCCTGGAGGAGGGGGAAAAAAGAAAAAGGTTTGGAGAGAGGCGCTGGGGAAGGGTTGAGGGCTTTTAGGGGGCCTAGGGCCCAGGGTTTAGGGGTCAGGGTCTAGGGTTTAGGATTGACAGTTTAGGGTTTAGGGTTTCGGGTTTCCTGGTTTCAGGGCTGTGGGGGGCTTCAGGGCTGGTGGACTTTCCGGGTTAGCTGCATGAAGCTTTTTTTGGCGGTCTAGGGCTTCGGGATTAGGGACTGCAGCGGTTTAGGGTTTAGGGCTTGGGGCTGAGGGCTTCGGGTTTATGGTGACTATATGAACCCTGAAAGGGTTTACGCCCCATAGTCTCTGATCAGGGTTACACGGTGAATGATCCCAAGTCTACACGTATCTGGTGCTCAAGGGGGGCAGGATCTGGTAATCAAGGCCAGCGCAAGCTCTACGGATTCAAAAGTCGATACGGCCCCTCGGTACTTTGTTCTTGTATCATTGCCTGCTCAGCCCCGAAGGGTTCCATGGTTTCGCATTGCCAAACTCCAGACCTAAACCCTAAACCCCAAACCCGAAACCCTAACACCAAAAGGCCATAACCCCTAAACCCTAAACCCCTAATCTTGTGTGTCACTTGAGCCCTTGGCTGAGCGCCTGCGCCTGGGACCGCAGCACGTGGAAGCTGCGCTGGCGCCCTCCAGAAGCCTCTTGCTCGCTCCAGGGAGCTGGGACGTCCTTCGGGGTTTAGGGTTTAGGGTTCAGGGTTTAGGGTTTGGGGCTTTGCGGGGGGTTTTGCTGTTTTTTGGGGGCCACCCGGGTTGAGGGTTTTTTTCAGGCGCTTTTAGGGTTCAAGTCCAAGCGCCGGGATACTGCAATCCCCAGCAAGGACCGTGAGTATAAGGGGGAATATCCCAAGGCTTTGGGGTTGAGGTGGTTGATTTTGGGGCTTTATTGCTTTAGGGCTTTAGGCTATATATATATATATATATATTTTTTTTTTTTTTTTTGTTGGGGGGGGGGGTTGAGTTTTCTTTGCACCGGCACTCCACAGGGTTCAAGGGTTTTAAGGGCAGCAGAGTTTTAGGGGTGCAGGGCAGAGGGTTCCCTCCGCCTGAAGGCCGACCCCTAGCCCCTAAACCCTAAACCCTAAACCCTGAACTAACACTAAACCCTAAACCAGGTTTGAGGTATGAGGTTGAACCGTAACCCCTAAACCCCACACCCTAAATACCCAAGAGAAAAAAGCTGGGGGGGTTTGACTCGCACCCTGGCGATACTTTAGGGCTGTGGGTTTCAACTTCTGCCCCTGGACTCCTCAAGCAAAGCCAGAACCGAAACCCTGAACCCCCAAAGCCTTTAAGCCGTAATTAGACCCTACACCCAGAAACCAAACCCAACCCCTTAGCCCTCACATTTTGTTGTGAACGCTTGGACAAGCTTGCTGGGACTCCTGTC